GTCAGATGTGATAAACATGTATCTTGATGCTAAATGTAATTGATACAAATTTCTTGAACCAATCAATATCAAAATTACAAAAACATATTGTCGAGAGTTCTGTTAGTAAACTTCTGATAACTCATCAATTGACGTTAACTGATGGTATAACCAGAAAAGAAAAAGTTGTAAGGGTGAAAAGTCGACTCTATTAACACGAAGCGAAGAATTTTCTTGTCATGTTGCTAGAGGAGGAGAAGGAGATTCAGATCTCAACTGTTTGTAGGAGGAAGAGGAACTAGCGAGGCGTTTTTTTTCTTTTCTTCAATATATAAACTATATCAAAATGAAGACATAAGTCTGAAATATTAATTCTCATCCTTAGCCAGATATCTAATTTTAGCATAATTCTGTCTGTTTTTTTTTGATAAGATGTATAGGAAAATCCTTCTTCAATATGATAATATTTGATTTTACTTCTATTTAAAATATTTTAGGAATATTTACAAAATCCAATAAAGAATTGGTTAAAGAAAGATACATGTATTTTTCTTGTCTTAGCACTTGCATCAAAAGGCGAAACACAAAAAGTTTGTAGCAAACATTCTTTTTTTTTTTTGTTCTTGACTTATAAGAAAATTTTCTTTTCTTATAGTTTGGTATAACAAAAACAAGTTCATTTATTAGTATTCCAGCATTTTATTCAAATAGTATATTACCAGAACTTCAAAATCAAGACAGTATGTTAATTTTATAAAAAAAAAGAATATAAACCAACAAATTTTTATCTAAATTTTAGTTAATAGTCTTCCATTAATTAAAGCTGATTGTTTAAAATTTTTAATTCATGTTCGAAATCAAATTGATCGTGATGCATTACTTATTTCAATACCTGAATGTGTTCGATATTTATCATCAAATAATATTGTTGTACAAACATATGCAGCACATGCTATTGAACGTTTATTACTTGTTCGACTTTCTACTGATCCAAAATTTGCAGCGTAAGATTTTTTTTTTCAATCAAATAAATTTCATTTGTATTTTTGCGTCTATAGAATAACAAAAAATGATTTAATACCTTATGCTCAAACAATGTATGATAGTTTTTTTCGAATATTAACATCGGATAAATCATATGAAAATGAATATGTTATGCGAGCTGTTATGAGATTATCATCATCACTTAATGATGCTGTTTTACCTTATTTAAATCATTTAATGGAAAAATTAGTTATGATTTTACGACGATCATGTAAAGTAAGAAAGTTTAACTTATCTTGTAATTTTCAAAAAACAAAAAAGAAAATAAATGTTTTTTTTTCAAACTTTTTCAATGCGAAAGCGATAAATTTTGAAACCGTTTCGGACTCATCTAGAATAGTTCTTACAAGATTGATTTAAACTAATTTATTAAATATAGCTTCTTATCAATAGCAATAGTTATCCTATGTTTCATATTTTTATTTGATAGAGATGATGATAATATCTTTTTTTTTATTGTATTGTCGTGTTTTTTTTTTTAGAATCCAAATAAACCAAATTTTAATCATTATTTATTCGAAACAATAACTGTCTTAATTCGTACAAGTGTATCAAAAAATCCCGATGTGCTTGATCAATTTGAACAAATACTTTTTCCTGTATTTACACCAGTATTTACAGAAGATATTGCTGGTATGTATCTAGTTATTTCTATAAAATTAGTTATCTTATTTGAATATATTTTATTTTATTTAGAATTTGTTCCATATGTATTACAAATAATTGGATTTCTATTAGAATCTCGTCCATGTGGAATAACATCAATACCTGATTCATATCGTGCATTATTTCAATTAATACTTACACCATCATTTTGGGATCGTAGTGGAAATATTCCAGCATTATCAAGACTTTTACAAGCATATATTGAAAAAGCAGGAGAAACAATTGTTCTTGAAAAATTAGTAAGTCAATTTTAATATTACTATTTTTTTTTATATTGAAATGTAAATAGACAATTGTACTTGGTGTATTTCAACGTCTTGTATCTCAATCAAAAATTCATGATCATGAAGGTTTTGCAATATTAAATTCATTAATTATTAATTTACCATCAACATGTTTAATTAATTATTTAAAAGATATATTTATTGTTATATTTACTCGTTTAACAAAAGCTAAAACACAAAAATTAATACGATGTATCATTATTTTCTTTTCATATTTTATTATTAAATATGGTGCAAAAGAATTCATTACACAAATTGATTCTATTCAAGCAAAGTAATTTATTTATTCATTTTGAAAAATAAAAAAAAAAGTCGAAATCAAAATTTTTCTTTTCAGTATGTTTCAAATGGTTGTTGAACGTTTATTTGTTCCAGAATTATCAAAAGTTGATGATAATGATAAAAAAATTTGTGCAGTTGCAGTAACACATTTATTATGTGATCCTGAACAAATGATAAATGGAATTTATTTTAATTATTTATGGTTAATATTATTACAAGCATTACTTGACTTATTTCAATCAACTAATGATTTACATATAATGTCAGCTGCTGAAAGAAAAAAACAAGCACAAGAGGAAGCTGAAGAAGAATTACTTATTGGATTGGATGATACACCAGGTTATTATTATATCTTTTCTTTTTTTCAATAATTATTTCACTTATGAAATTATTGATGTTTTGAGAAGAGTAAAATTCACAAGATGAAATTAATTAAAACTTTGTTTTTATGAAGAGTAATTATGTTCAATCTATCCTTTTTGAGATGTCGGTTGAAAGTATACGGTGACCAAAACGTCAGTTAACCGAAGAGAAAACATTGTTCATGATTCATATTCTGTAGGCAAATATCGATTTCGACAAAGAACCTCTCTATTTGATACACAGCTTCTGAGCATGAAATCGTAGTGGATCGCTTGCACATAATAAGCTATAAAAAATTCGTTCTTTTATAAAGTTTTGACAGAGTTGTTGAATTTTCGTCTTCTAGAACTTCAATTTTTCAGTAAAATTTTAACGTCAAATTTTTAATCTAAAACCTTGCTGTAGTCAAAGTTTCAAAGAGAATAGCTCATGCACAAAGTTTCAGAGTTTTTACATAAGATATGAATTTTTCAAAATCTATGCGCTGTTCCAATGATATTGTGTAAAACGTAAAAACTTTTAAAAAAATTATATTTTAGAGTTATTACATGCGAAACTTTAATTCCGGTAAAGTTTTAGAGTACTAAATTTAAAATAAAAATTTAGTTGAAACGACTACATCTCAATGAGAACTTTATAAAAGAGCGAATCTTTTTGAAGTTATTATGTATAAATGGTTCGATAGTATTTTATGAAATATATGCAGAGAAGCCTTAAGTCAACTGACGAGATTCTCTCTTGGCAGTTCTTTTTCTTTTTTTAATAATCAGGAAAGATTGAATTTCTCGATCGAAATCAATCATGATTCATAAAAATATTTCTTTTCAATATTTTTCTAAAGGATATGAGTCATGAACACTCCTTCAAAACATTAACCTACTTAATCAAACTATGGTAAAAGTATTCAACTTTTTTCAGTCAATCGGCTTTTTATTCATGGTGTATTTTTCAAATAATTTTTTTTTTTTATATCAAAAAACAAAAGATCAATTGAAAAATACATAGTACTAAATCTATAGAATAAGATGACTAAAAAATAATTATTATTCCATTTAATACGCATTACGAAAAAGAAGTTCATGTTTCCATGCTTGAAAAATGTAATAATGACTTTTGATGTCCTAATCACTCTATGATGATCTTTGCCTATTTATTCCACTGATGAGTAGTTTTTATTGAACTCTTAATATGATATTCATGATTAGAAACTTATTCTCTATTCATACCTGTCGTTTCTATTTCAAATAATATTTGTCTAATTATTTTTAAGAAAAGATAAGAAACACCATTATGAGATTAATTTACTGAGTCTAAATATTATTGATGGAGACTGTTACTTCAAAATTTTTCTACTTCAAAGAATTTATGTTGTATCGTACATGTGTATGAATATGCATATTTACTTATGCAAACACTTATTTGACTTTCTTTCATCGAGCTTTATTGACAAAAGATATTAGTCTTGATATTCTTCAAGTGTGAGCCAAAATCGTTTCTTAGACATTTTATAACTGATTGTATATTGTTGAATACAAATTTTGTTCAGAAAAAAGTTAGATTGTTTCTATTTCTAAAATTCATTTTCCATGAAACAAGTGACAAAAACAATTGCCATAGATCAATAATGTTCGAAAGTAAAAACTTAAGTTTTTATCGACTAATTGTAGATAAGCGTTCTTGAGAAATTTTCTTACAAAAAAATAAGGAATTTGCCTATAGTTTCTAGAATTTTAAAAATATAAAATTAATAATAGCGTTTATTTTAAATACTTTGGTCAATCGATATATAGTAACTTAGTTTAAATCGTGAATTAAAGAATAAGTATAAATACCGATTGATAATGATATTTTTGATTTTTCAATGTTTAATTAATGATTATTTTAAGATTACACTCCTGCATTTTCACGTTTGGCATTTGCTAAACAGCCTCGTACGGATCTATTTGGTTCAAGTATTCCTGATGCTCGATGTCACTTAGCTAAATGTTTACAAGAATTAACAAGTTCTCATCCAAATCAAGTTTGTTATACTCTTTGTTTTCAAATAAAAAAAAATTTTATCTTAATAATATTTTAGTTTCTAAGTGTTATGACAAATGGTTTATCGAAAGAACAATTATTAGATATACAAAAATATTGTGCTTTAGCAAATGTGACACTTATATAAATTAATAATCAATTCAGATATGCATGCTTTCCAACAAAATTCTCTTCTTTTTTTTTTTTTTTCGTTAATTATTATAAATTTCTGTTTTTTTTTTTTTTTTTTTTTGTTCGTAAAAGATTTAAAAAAACGTTTTCAACGAGAAAAAAATTCATTAGATTAACTAAGATATATTAAATATATAATTTTCTTTCTTCAATATCTTTAAAGATGAAATAATGAATCGAAATCCTCGATTGAATTTAAACCTTCAAACAATAGATCGATCACCATCGAGTTCATCGGTTGGCTCCCATGGAACCGTTGCCTCAGGTCAATCAACAACCAGTACAAACGCTAGTTCGGTTAGTAGCCGCAGAAGAAGAGGAATTCTAGGAAAAATTGAAACTGGTTTTCGATCGGTATTTCGACGATTTTCTCGGCCACGTACGACATTAACTGAAATGGATATTCAACTATTGTCAACAGCAACGGGTTATACTCGCGAAGAAGTTTTACAATGGTAAAAATTGAATTCATTTTATCTTAAAATTAAAATCACATATACAGTATTGCTCAAAGTTATTCAATTAACATATTTTTTGACTTTGTTTTTTATTGTATTACGCGTCTAACTCAAATTCAAATAATGTTTTGAATAGTTAATGAAGTTCTCTCTCATATGCATTGTATATTGAAATCCCATAGATGACCTATGGAGAGGAAGATTTCTAGAAAATTGTCTAAAAATAAGTTTTTTTTTCAGATTATTATTTGAAAGAAAATAAAAGTCTGAATAGAATGATGTTTTGCTGCATCTTCTACAACTTTTCTTTTAAAAGTTCTAAGCGTTACAGAAAAACAAAAAGCAGCGGTTTTTTTTCGCAATCTTGTGATAAAACTGTTAGTGTAATCTCTATGGGATTAACATGTGAAGCATAATTCAGTTGCTATTACTAATCTTAGAGAGATTCTTTTATGATACATTTTTTCACCATCGTCTTATTTAATCCTTCAGAAATGCAATAAAGAAGCACAGAAAATCTTGCATTGGTTGTTTTTTTCCTTTTCTAAAAAAAAACCAAATTATTTACTTATCTATTAAATATAGAAATCGAAAAAAGTTAGTAATTGAGAAATAATTTTCGAAATTTAGTTAAATCTTTCTTTTATTTGAAATTGTAATCTAAAATAATTTTAAATGTAGGCATGAAAAATTCTTAATTGATTATCCAAATGGTTATATGACTCGAAAACAATTTATATCAATGTATAAATCATTATTTCCCAAAGGTGATGCTGAACGTTTTGCTCGTCATATATTTCGTGCATTTGATCTTGACAATTCACATACAATTGATTTTCATGAATTTCTCATTGGTTTATCATTAACATCAGCAACAAATTCAATAAAAACAAAACTTGAATGGACATTCAATGTTTTTGATATTGATGGAAATGGTTTATTAACACGACGTGAATGTTTAGAAGTTATTGATGCTATTGTTCGGTGTTATTTATCAACTCAAGGTAATACACAAAATTCAAATAATGAACAAATAATTAATCAAGCTAAAAAGTCAATGATGAATATATTTGATAATATTAGTCATACTTCAGTTGATAAATTAACCAGATCACAATTTGTTGAAGGTTGTTCGAAAGATCAATTTATTTCGCATTTATTAGCACCAACAACAAATACAGTATTAATCAATACACATGATACAAATGATAATCATTCGAATGATTGATGACATTGTTATAAAGATTTTTTCAGTTTATTTGTCTTCCCATACCCTTTCATTGTTTTTTTAATAGATTTCAAGTCTTTAGAATTCAGATGAAGTTTTATTTCATTATTTATATTGCAATGAACTATTTATCTTGTTGTTTTTTTTTGTAAATTGTAACAAATATTTGCATATATTATTGTTGCAAATAAATCATTATTTATATAGAAATCGAACGATCAAATCCGTTTTTTCTTTATTCTCTTCGAAACGATAAAAGATACCAATTTTTATGCTTTAAACTCATTTATAGTGTTAATAGGACTATTCTGAGGTCTCCAAGATTGAGGTTGAGTGAAATCTCTTTCGCTATGGATACTCTTGTATCGAGATCACAATAGCGCATATTCATTAACAATCAAGAATGACAGAAAATTTCTAATATGAGCTGAGAGACGAACATAAGTTTTCCTTCTATTTTATTAAAATTTTGAAGTAGAAATCATGAATGTAAAGAATTTGACAAATCAAATTGTCTTTTGTAATAATAAGTGCTATTTTTACGAAACAAGAACATAAGATTACGATGATATTTACCAATCAGAGTATATATGTTATTATTCGGTCTAACAGAAAATCTTTCGACAGCTAACAGAGACTTTGATCTAGAAAACTTATTTACAAAATTCCTTTAGATACTAATGATATACATAGGGCAGTCAAAAAGTTTTGAGAGCACTAGTCTAATATTTTATATTGATTGTTTGTAACCTGAATAGGGCCTGTTTCTAGTAACTAGTGTTGTTGTATACCAAACACCAAATGGACGTCTTTTCAATTTTTTAATATGGCTAAGTTCTAGTTACTTTTCTTTTACCTACTGCTATGGCGCTGGATGAAATGTACCACAAGACAAATGTTATACGTGTACAGGGCAATAAAAGATCTGAGAAATGAAATTTATTGATAGAAAAAGACATTCAGCGGATTATTCTATAGCAAATGTTCAAAGTAGTCGCCATGATGCTGGATACAAAGTTTCATTCTTTCAATCCACTTTTGAAATGTCTTTCTGTATTCCTCAACGGGAATCGAGTTGAGCTCCTTGATTATTGCTTCCGACAAACTTGTTCCATCTGGATATGAATCAAGTCTATCTTTCAGATAAGTGAATAGCCAAAAGTCTGAAGGAGCAAGGTCAGGCGAGAATGATGGATGAGCCGTAACTTCGATGTTTTCATCTTGAAGATAGTTGATCACAACATCTTCAACATGGGGGCCTTGAATTGTCGTGGTGGAGTTTGATACCGTATGTTCCTGATGACGGTCTTTTTAGTAACAGATTCTTGACCAATGGTTTTAAACATTCCTCATGATAATAGATACCATTAATAGATACGCCAGGAGGCACCTGATGAATAAGCATCGGTCCGTTAGTCATAAAGAAAATGACAAACATTGTTTTCTTTTCATACAGTTGCCTTTTGACGACAGTTGTGGGTCTTTCTCCTTCTACTACCCATGCTTTTGATTGTTGTTTTGATGCAATCTTTCGATGATAAACCTACGTCTCATCGCCAGTGATAACATCACATAGTCGCCACTCATCATTTTCAAACTTTTGCAAGGTTTTGGTACAAATATTCACACGTCGCTGTCGTGGTTCTTGTGTCGGAAAATGAGGTACCCATTTTGACGATACTTTTCTTAACTGACGATGTTCTTTCAGTATAGTATGTACACTGCCATGGGTTATATCTAACACATCGGCAATATAATCAATACTAATATGTGGATTATCATTAACTAGATCTTTGGCAGCAGCAATATTGTCTTGCATGACGACTGTTATTGGATGACCACTGCGTGGATCATCTTCAAGCGACTCTCGTCCACTTGAAGAAGCATGAACCCAGCGCGCAACCGTAGGATATGATATGTATTCTTGACCATAAGCAGTGATCAGTTCTTGATGGATTTAAGTGGCATTTAATCCAAGCAATGAACGAGTTTTTTTATGTAGTAGCGTATATACTGCTTATCCATGAAAAAAGTCGGTGTTAAATGCTTTATTCATTTTTGTGATTCTTTTCTTAGAATGGTAAGAACTTATGTATGACACTGGTACGCATTTTTCGCTGCGCAATAATATCAATTCAAGGTCAAGACTAACGTTTTCTTGACTTTTAAAAGAACAGAAAAAAAAGAGTAACAATAGAGATGAAAGAAAACGAGTAAGAGTTGTTAGATGATAGAAACAACGAAAGTATCGAAAGAAAACAGAAAAGTATATCAGGGAAGAACATCTAACAGAACGAAAAAAAAGACATGGATGTTGTTAACAATATATGTATGAAACAAAAGAAAAGGAACGAATATTTATCGATAATATTTATAACATTTGTCTTATGGTACATTTCATCCAGCGCCATGGCAGTAGGTAAAAGAAAAGTAACTAGAACTTAGCCATATTAAAGAATTGAAAAGACGCCCATTTGGCGTTTGGTATACAACAACACTAGCTACTAGAAACAGGCCCTATTCAGGTTACAAACAATCAATATAAAATATTAGACTAGTGTTCTCAAAACTTTTTGACTGGCCTATGTACTTTTGAATTATGTTATGTAAAAATTAAAAAACAAAATATTTCTATTTTGAAAAAATTGGGTTAGCTTCTTTGATTGATTGATGCATTTAAGAGTTAAGTCACCTCGAATAGTTGACTTAACCCTTAATGCATCAATCACATTGCTTAATTCAACATTAACGTTAATTCACTTTTTCAGTTGATATTTTTAACGAAGTCTTACTATTCAACTAAAAGTTATGAAGAAAACCAAATTATATGTATCTTAGTCTGCTCTAACTAATCAATTCCTCTAACGAAATGAATAGCACGCTATCGTGCAAAAAACATATCAAAATATTTGATTTTTCCCGTATAACCCTCTCTTCAGTCAATCGAACTTATAGTTAGTTTCAACTAGTCTCAACTGCCATTGACTAGTCTAAGCTATTAGTAACGAGTACCAATTATTCTTAACTACTCTTCACAATGTTATCGCGTCCTCAACATATGTTCCAAAACTTCGAAAAACTGATTTCAAATTCGGATTTTCCACTCGCGACTTACTTTTGTCAAGTTTTACAAAATATAATTATTTTCTTGAAAAAGCCTTTTCTTGACGAAAAAATCAAACTCAAAATTTTCAAAGACTTCAAGTTTTGATTCATTCGTCATCATAGGTTTTGGTGAAACTTCATTCGGGTGTGCATGTGGGTATAGACTATTCTTCTTCAATCACCCACATCCACACCTCACCCTACAACTTAGTGCAATATCACATTTCATAGAGAAGTATCCGCTTTACAAAATGACTAACTCGGACAATTTTCAGAATGTTCAAACAAGAACTTATTGGATAAATAAAACCCTGTTGGCTCATTATGAAAGAAAAATATTTCAGACTTTTCAAAAAAATCCTTTACTAGTCTTGAACCAAAATAGAAATAATATTTCTAAGCTCATATTCAAAGTCTGGTTGCAATCTATAGTTTTTGACTATTTTGTGATGCTTTCAAATCGCCCAAAATGAACAAACATGCTCGTTTACAAGTTCTGCCGAAACATTTTTTTTACCTTATCAAAGATTATTTCATTGATCTCGGACGATAAATGAACAAAAGAATTCTATGTTCATATTCGATAAAAGCACAAAATCATATGTTTTGATTTATAGAAAATACTTTCTAGCAGGTTAAAACTGAACAAATATCTTGTTAAAAAACTTTCCAATCATTTGTTAGTGTATTTATTGACAATGAAAAATCGAGACAAAATATCGTATATACACAAAGAGAAAAACATAAGATTTACTTCTATTTTATTGAAATTTCAAACTATATAAATCATGAATTTTACGTATATAATGAATCAAACTTTTTGTTTTATTATGATAACTACTATTTTTATGGACAAGAAGATAAGATTAAGATATTTGTCAACCAAAGTACGTCTGTTATTATTTGTCATAACAGAAAATCTTTCGACAGGTTACATGTATATTGATTTAGAACATTTATTTAGATATTAGTTATATATAAAGATGAATATTTTCGATTTCATACTAATGAGAAAAACATTAGAATGATGAACAAAATAGTAAATTAATTATTTCTCATCCGTTCAATTATAAAATATTACAAAAATTTTTAAGTATAAAAACATACGTTAGACTAATGGAGCTTTTATATTAATGTAAATCGAAACAGTAGAAGATACGTTCACGATAAATAGTAATCGATATATTTCTTTAAAAGGATTCTCTCCTCTTTTGTTGTTTGTAGATTCAAAATTCTCAAAATGCTTCATTATAGCAGATATTAGAGTCATTTACGGTTTCTGGATGTCTTCTTATTTCATGCCATATAAACAAAAAGGTTCAAATTCAGAGCATACCCATAAAAATGCATATTTTCTTTTTGAATGGGAATTTTTTTTTTTTTGGAAACTCAAGCAAATATCAGTGATGTATCATATTTTGAAACAAAAACAAGCAGAAACTCTAAACATTTTCGTGGATACGTAGAAAAAAGTTTCAACTCAACCGAGTATACTGCGTTTGAGAAACACAGGCTTTTCAGCTTTTTAATGTCAAAAACTCACTTGTCTGTCTCAACAAAAACTTTCCATCCTTGTCAGTTTTTTTACTTTTATAGTTATATCTTAATTCTTGAAATATGACCAGTCGATTGAGAATACTTTAAAGCATATTTCGATTAGAACTCAACAAAAAGATGAAAAGTCTAAAAAGTGGCGGTCGGAAATAAGATTATTAATATTGCATAGGAACGGAAGAGCCTAAACATTCTCGTAGACAGTACTTTGCTCTTCGGAATGCTTTAGTTAATGGCGGCGATGGAAGAACAAAACTGATTGTGACCCGTCCTCTTTCATAACAGACGATCTGCCATCAAGCCGTCTCTTCGCCACGACTTGTTCCAATCCTATATGCCCCTCGTAACGACATTATCAGATTATTTTTATTTCACGCTATGCCCCAGAAAGGCAAATGATATTTTTAAATCTGACTTCTGTTCAGATTTATTATGAAGCTTTAAACAGTTTCAGAAAGTTCAATGTTTAGCGGAAGGAGAAGAATATGTCCTATGAATCGAGAATTCTGATTGGAAAATAAAGAACGATCTCAACAAGTAAGTACGTCAGTGTACAACTCATTCTACTAATCGATCAGTATAAATATTTATAATAAGAAAAGTATTCGCATGAAAAAACAAATTCAATGGAGAAAATTAATCGAAACATACTGGTTGCAACGACACACTTATTAAATAACCGTAAGAGAAATTCATTGATGCATTAACATTATCTCCATGCTTTTCATATGAAATCAATGTCATATAAACAATCACAAAATTTTGTTTTACAAAATAAAAAAAAATAGAAAGTGTCTTTCATTTACAATTAACAATCATCGAATGATTTATCTTTTTCCTTCTAATCATCAGTCTAACATATGTGATAACCTTGATATCAAAGAAAAAAATCTTTGACACATTGATAATATACGAAGAATATTAAGATGGAAAGATAGGATTGTATCAACAAATAAACTTGATCAGATATACATATTTCTATAATCAACATAAGGAAAAGAAAAAAAGACTAAGAATACTTTGATATTCTCATTGTATATATATGATGACAGACAAGCCATCATCATTGCTCGTGTCAATCATGATAGTATGTTTATACAAATGTCTGATCGTATGAGTAGTTGCACAATGAAATGTGCGTTAATTTCTTTGATTACTGATAAAATACAAAAAGAGCGAAAGGTATCACTTCATCTATTATTCAATGAATATCGTAAAAAAAAGAAAAAAGAAAAAAAAAAAGAAAACATCAATAGAGATGACCTCGATTTCAAAAAAGAAAATAACGATGAAATGAAGATTAATTATTGTTATTTGTATTATTATTCATATGTCTTTTGGTTTCTGTCATTGGTAATAAAGACAAGTGAGGATAAAAAAATGGTAACTGATCATTGGCTTCAGTCATCCTTGATGTATTTAAATACGGATGAAAACGATGATGATAATGATGATGATGAGATATTTTTGATGATTTGTGATTATATCGAATATGTTCAATTAATTCATCATTGGAATAAAATCTTGCATTACATGATGACCAATGACATACATATGGTTGATTATTTATTGAATTCGAAAGAATATATCTAACTGTTTCACATTGTAAACATCCAGGTATTGGACATGTTAAGGAATATGAATGTTGTTGATGTTGTTGTTGTTGTTGTTGTTGTGAAACTAAATAAGCAAGAGACGAACGAAGAAATAATGCAGCTGCAGATTTAGTTGGATCAAATAGAGGTGTTAACTGATTCGTTAATAGATTTGGTTCGATGAAAGATGAAGATGCTGATTGAATATTTGATTTTAATGGAAGTGTAGATTTTTTATGGGTATTTATATTATTTAACTGTGAAGGCGATGAACATTTCGTAGATGATAATGATTTGTCAGAATTAAATAGATTTGTTGAAGATTTTGTAGAATGAGATGTTGTTATTGATGGAACTGAATTTGTGATTGATGAAGGAGATGATGGAAAATCTTTTCCAATACTTGAACATGTTTGAGCTAAAAGAGCTAATGGACTTTGATTTGAATCATACTATTTAATGAAAAAAAAAGAATCTCAATAAAATTGTGTTTATGTTACTTTAAGAAAAAACAAAACAAATTTACTGAGTTTGATGAAAATGATTGTAAATAAACTGATTTTGAATTAGGTTTTGTTGTTGTTGTTGTTGAAGACATTTGTCTTTTTTTTTTGATGATAATGATGATCGTTTGTTATTACTTCTACTCTTTAACTATAAAGTCAATGAATTAAGGCTTTTCCTTATATATCTTTTTCTGTTCTTGTGCTTTCTTTTACCGTCATATATAGAGAACGAGAGAGAGAGAGAGAGAAAAAAAAACGAGAGAAGAGGAGAAAAACAAGAACGGATTTGTATGTGTGATAAATGATGATCATACTTGAGACCCCCAAGCGAATATACGTGCACTACTGCTTGACATATGACAATTAGAAAGAAAACGATGAGTGATGACAATAATGAATAAGAGATGCCATTTATTCTCTCTGATGGCGATGTAGCGTGCCGATTTCTAACTTGGATTTTACATACATTCATCTATCATTTGTCAATCGACATAAATATATATTTTAAAATGATAAACGTGTAACAAACACACGATTCATGTCAATATGTTTCATGAAATAAATTATATTCAATATTAAACACATAGATCATTTATTTTAAAATAAATATTAATCATTCAATGACAGTAATAGGAAGTGTTCCTAAAAAAAAAAGTATGTATGTATATATATATATATAAATATAAATGAACTTTAATAATAATCAACATAATTGAAATGATGAATGCCGACAGTTGTGACAGAAGAGGTTAACTTCTCTATCGACTTGTCATCGCCATTAGCTGACCGACATATAATGACAGAAAACATGTCGAGAGATACATGTTTTGTCTCGACGTGTATATGATCCTCATTATTGGTCTTTCATTTGTCAATTCTTCTCTTCAATGAATGATGATCTTGATCAATCGTCAAGTAAATGAGGCTTCACATCAGATTGTTACAAACGAGCCTAACATTAATCATTTATCATCAATCGTTTTTTTTCTACGTCGTAATAACAATATTCTGTCATGAAGAAATCAGTCAAAGAAAGCACGAACGATTGATTTATTGACGATGATGATATAGATAAATGACTTATTGTGCTAAACAAAAATAAAAGTCAGATAGACTATTTAATATTTAAAAATTTTGTTTTGTGGAAATTCACATCATTCGAATTTTTTTGACTTTATATTTTATGACAAGCACATATATATATATATATATTGATTGACGTTGATGACAATGTCCGATATTTATCTTGCTAAATGATTGTTGTTGTCATTTCATTTGTATATTTATTCCTTTTTAGAAGAACGACATCGTCTCGTTCTAATCAATGCTGACAAACACATTAAGATAGAGGACAACAACATAAATTAGAACTTTTTCATATATTACTGTCTGTGTCGATAATATGTATGCATGGTTCAATTGATCAGTTATCATTACATCGATCTACGTATCCATTGACTTTTTTATTCTTGTCTTATGGTTTTTTTTTTCTTCTTTATTTATTGATGATAATTAGATTTGACATTGACCATTTATAGAACTTAATCTCAATGACTTTTTTATTGGCTTTTTTTAACGCATTAACTTATCAAATGTATTTGAATATGATATGCTTAGTTGCATTTGTTTCTCTAAATACAATAATTAGCCTTAATATACATAATACAAAGAATAAAAGAATGCGATCGATTGTGTTTATGTACTATATAGAATCAAAAATAACTGATTTATAATGTACTGAATGATGGATTTTCAAATAAGGAATAATCTTCTTCTTTTCTTTTTAATGAACAGACTATAAATAAGATTCTTATTGATGATTGTATTCGATGTCGCTTGTTGATGATAGATGCATAAGTGCCGCCCTCTCATTTTCGATCTTTTATCAACATTCGTTTCATAGCAATGAACGATTCGATGGTGACACATATATACTATTTGTCATCTCATTAAATTCTTGTCTAAATATATCTGAATTTTAATATTTTGCTATTTATAATGGCAACAAAGTTATTAAATTCTCAAGAAACTCAACTTCCAGGTGATCGTACAGCACCAAAATCAGCTCTTCGTCTTCAATGGGTTTATGGTTATCGAGCAGCTAATTGTCGAAGTAATATACATTTAACTGCAAATAATGAACTAGTTTATTTTTCTGCTGCTGTTGCTATTGTTCAAAATATTCATGATAAAAATCGTAATCAACAACGTTTTTTTCTTGGTCATGATGATGATATTATTAGTTCATGTCTTCATCCAAATCAACTCATTATTGCAACTGGTCAAATCGGTAAAAATCCACAAATATGTGTATGGAATACAGAAGGTATAATGAAAGTAGAAAGTCTTTTACAAGGACATATAGATGGTGTTGGAGCTATGAATTTCAGTGCAGATGGAAAGGTAAATAAAGCAAAAAAACAATTGTTATTATTTATTTTAATTAATAGATTTCTTTTTTTTTGTTTATTATTTAATTAGAAATTAGCTAGCGTTGGTATTGATCGTGATAATACCATTAAAATTTGGGAATGGAGTCGTGGAAAACTTTTAGCAACTGTTGCTGGACATAAAGAACGTGTTTTTGATATTATTTATTATGGTGATAATGTCATTACTTGTGGTGTGAAACATATTCGTTTTTGGACATTACTTGGCAATACATTACAATTTGAAGAAGGACATTTTGGAAAATTAGGAGCACAAACACTTTTATGTATTGGACAATTTCCTCCTTCGGATACAAAACAATCAACTGAATCTACAGAAAATGATTATTTATGTTTTACAGGAGCAATTAATGGTGATTTATATGTTTGGAAAAAGTATAAAATTGATAGATATATTTCTGGAGCACATAATGTAAGATTATATATATAATAGAAGTAAAGAGATTGAAACATATAGATTATAATGTTCTTGAAATTAATTTATGAGAAGTACTTTTGAACCAGTATAAATACTCTAATAAGTTCAATAGTGCTACATATGATTGATAAGAAGAATATACAAAGTATTTTCAAATGATACAAGTTAGATTTATTATAAATTAATAAGTTGAAGCAATTTCTTGAAGAAAAAAAGGTTATGTGAGGAAGATTACATAAATTCTAGTCCATTTCAGCAAGTTAGAATCAATTTGTAAGTATCATAACTTTTACACAAGACATAATATATGAATTTCTTATCAACAGACTGACAAGGCAAAGGATATCATAAATCATTTTCTACAGATTCACTATATTTAAATGTCATTTTAATTGATAAACTTAATTGATTAGATGACGTGTTAATTCTGCATCAAGTATCATAACAATTAAAAGAAAAAATATACTTTTGTTTTTTATAAGTTAATTGTAGAAAAGTGATTATAGTTACTAATTTTAAATATTATCTTTGATTAGGCAACAATCTATTCAATTGATATGATTCCTAATGGTTTTCTGACAAGTGGTAAAGATGGTTTGGTTAGAAAATGGACAACAAATTTTGATGCCGTAGAACAACCCATTCCAATTCCATCTTTAATAAATCATACAGAAGGTAGACAAAAACAAACCAACATTATCTAAATGTATTTATTTGTTTTTATTAGATGTAAGTGTATGTAGTATTGCTTCACGTAATGGTTATTGTGTAGCTGGTACTCGTGATAGTGAAATCTATGGATTTGAATTAAATGGAAATAATGTACCACAACTTCTTGTTCAAGGTCATCATGATAACAGTTTATATGCATTAGCTTGTCATCCACGAGAAAATATTTTTGCTACTGGTGGAGATGATGGTTCACTGAGGTTTAAAGAGAGATTTGGTTTTTTTTTATATAAAAGAAAAATTTTTTTCTTTTGAATAGATTTTGGAATGCTGACAAAATGTCACTAGTAACATTTTATTGGACACCTAATGCTCAATTTCCATCACTTCCTGCTATTCGATCTTTAGCTTTTTCATCACATGGAAATCAAATAGCTGTTGGATATGATAATGGTTATCTTGAAATCTATCCAACATTGTTCGTTATTTTAATATTAAGTTTTACAATAAAAAGAAAAATTATTTTGCTATTTTAGATTAACACAACATGAAGGACAACGAGTTTCACCAATACATAAAATACATAAACGTACAGATCGTATAGAATCATTAGCATTTTCTCCAAAAGATAAATATCTTGCTGTTGGATGTGCTGATGGAAATTTGGATATTTATGATATTGAAAATCAATTTCAAAGTTTACATTTTAATTATCATGGTAAAATAAATATAATTAATTTATATTAAAATACAATATGATTTTTTCGTCGTTTTTATTTTCTAGATAATAGTTTATGTGTTACAAATATTGATTGGACTGACGATGAAAAATATATTCATTTTACTGGAGAAAATAAAGAAGCTTTTATAGTTAAAATACCTTGTAAATACAAATAAATTTTAATAAAAAAAATTGAATAAACTATTTTACTTTTATAAAGCTTGTGAAATTGTATCTAAGGATGAAAAAGACAATATACGTAATTGGTCAACATTTACAAGTTTAAAACATAAAGAAGTTCGTGGTATATGGAATAAATTTGCAGAAAAAACATCTATTGTTGCTATTGATGGAAATAATCAACTTGGTATTATTGCTGCTGGTGATGAAGATGGACTTATTAAATTATTTCGTTTTCCAAGTGAAAAACGTGGTGCTCATTTTAAAAAATATAACGGACATTCAAGTAGAATCGGTATGTTAACAAAAAGAAACAAAGTAAAAAATTAAATTTTTCTCAAATATACATCTTTTTTTTTTTCTAGCTGATGTATGTTTTCTTCATGATACAAGTCGTTTAATAACAATTGGTAGTGATGATCGTACAATAATGCAATGGAGTTTTCTATCTGAATCAGATTCAATTGCAATTATTGATACCAAGCGATTGAGTGCAGCACCAACTTCTTTATCAATGGGATTAAATGAATCAATAGCTGAAGATATACCGGATGAAACTATTGGAGATGTACGCATGTTACAAACAGCTCAATTCGCTGGAACTTATTTAGATTCAGACTCGGAAGATTCAGATTCAGATCTAAGTAGTGCTGAAGTCGATTCTGATATTGAAAAAGAAAAACAAATTTCATATGATAGAAAATTATATAGAGAAGATTATCAAGTAAAATTTTATTTTTCTTTTTCTAATATTAAGAATAACTCTAATTGATAGAAAATAAAAAAAGCAATGAAAGAACAATTACCACCAGGTGAAAAGAGAAAAAAACAACCTGATGAAGGTCTTACACTTGAATATGCATTTGGGTAAGGAAATATTGATTTTTTATTTTAAATCATTTTTAATTAAAATAGATATCGTGGTTATGATTGTCGAGATAATGTTTTTTCTTTGAAAAATGGTGAAATTGTTTATCATGTTGCTGCACTTGGTATTGTTTTAAATACAGAACTCAATCAACAAAGATTTTATAATTGTCATACAGATGATATTTTATGTTTAACTGTATCAACTGATATGAAATTAGTTGCTACAGGACAAGTAATTTAAATTAATCTGAAATATTTTCTTTTGATAAAAGTTATGGAAAGAGACCTAGAGGTTTATTATTTTACGTAGATGAAAAGACAAGGACAGAAAGATCTATAGCATCTTATGCATTGTTCACTAACGTTATAGTAAAAAGAACAATGTAGAGAAAAAAAAAAGCATTCTTATGGCTTTTCTCCAAGCACTAATCAAAATTATACTACTAAAGTATCTTTGTTGTTTTTCTATAATGTCGCCTACTTAACTCAAATTGAAATTAATATTTACTTAGTCAATGAAGTTCTTCATCACATGCAAAAATATCTTGTTGTCGTAATTTAGAGAAATATTATCTATGTATCAGCGATAAATATACTTTGAAATGCATATGAAAAAATAAAAATAATGTAAAATTTGCAATAGAAAGAAAAATTTTGTTTTGTTTTATTTATTTAAAATAAACATGTTAAATATTTTGATCTTTCTCTGATATCGAATATCAATCATCATCAGAGTTTTATTGAACTATAAACCAAAATGATAGTAATAATAATATTCTAAGCAAATAAAAGTTTATTTTTATGAAATAAAACTTGAGTCTAAACAATTCAAAACATACATGAACATATATTAACTCGAAAATTCATAATTTAATGAAACAAACTTATATAAATATTTATATAAAATAAGAAATATGAAAGAAAACAATATTTGCCTTTCTTCTCAAAATTTATAATATTTTTTTTTTTGTTTTGTTTTCATATAATTACAAAATCTCAAATTAATATATTTTCATTTATAGGCGTATAATGAACTCGAACACCAGTTCAGAGTTTGCACTAAACGATCTGGGTTTGAAAACTACCCAACAAGTTCAGACTACTCGTATATTTAAATAGTGGTTCAAATAGCTCTTGCAGGGTATAGACGATTATAGAAGTATCTTTAAAGCTCGAGTTTGAAGATTTCTCAATATCATTAGCTCTTCTTTTAGAAAGTCTGCTGCCTTTTAGTGTTGGGGTAACTTACTTCTATTGTCTACAGACCTATCATAGCCAACCTTACAAAGCCTTTCTTTTGGTTTACTTCTATACCCTAGATTTATTAATTAACTGAAAATGACTGTATTCAAAATCAAATTGAACTCCAAAGTTCGGACTCAGTGTATACCTACACATTTATATAAAAAAAAAAAAAAAAAAATTTTTTTTCGTATTCTTAAAAATACTATTTCTTATTATCGATTTGTTTTTGATTTGTAAAAATCAAACTTAATTGATCACGTTACATAGCGAATGTCTCTTTCTATTTTCGAAGCCTTATGCAATTCGAAAAAAATGATTGCTTTTTTATTTTTATGATGTCAGTAAAGCATTCTCAATTCTATTGAAAAAAAAAGCATAAGAAAAACCTTCAATATGTGTTTTTGTATATATGACAAGACGTTGTAAATGTATCCTAAACAGTAGATGAAAAGAAAAAGTATTCTTAATAATCCTTTATAATAAATAATATTTTTCTCATAAAATAAAATTAGATCGGTCGTGATCCACCTATTCATGTATGGGATCCAGTGGAAATGCAAACAAGTTCTATTCTTAGAGGTCAACATGATCGAGGCATCTGTGCTATTGGATTTTCTAGTAAGAAACAAAAAAAACAAAAACAGTTTAAAGATTATTCTTATGCGCTTTGTATATTTTAGGAAATGGTAAATTTTTAGCTTCAGTCGGTTTAGATGATTATTATACAATTGTTATATGGAATTGGAAAAAAGGAGAAAAAATAGCATCACAAAGGTTTAAAGTTTTTTTTTTTTTTTCATATTTTTATTTAAAATTTTCTTTGAATATATTAGAGGACATAATGAGAAAATTTTTTGTTTACGTTGGAATCCACATGAGGATGATCGATTTGTAACTGTTGGTGTTAAACATATTAAATTTTGGACACAAGCTGGTGGTGGTATGACATCAAAACAAGGTGTTTTTGGAAAAACTTCTGGAAAACAAGGAAAAAAAGATCAAATGTGTGTGGTTTTTGGTAAAACAGCTGACACTTGTATAACTGGTGGTGGTGATGGAGCAATTTATATTTGGACAAACACGACATTAACAAGAATGGTTCCAGATGCACATAAAGCACCTTTATGGGCTATAGCTGCAGTACAAGATAAAGTTAGATTTTTAAACTTTGTTTTTTTTCTATTCATTTTCATCGGAATGTGTTTTTGTTTCATATTTAGGGTTATATAACTGGTGGAAAAGATGGAAAAGTTATACTTTGGGATCCAGAATTTAAGAAGAGTATTAAAACATATGAATTACTAAGAAAACATGTAGTTCCAGATTCTCGAGGTTGTTTCGTTTAATTTGTTTTTTTTTTTTTGATATTTTTAATTTGTTTTTTTTTTTTTAATTTTAGGTCAACTTACTGAAGAACCAACTTCAGTCCGTGCTGTTACTTTAACACGTCGTATTATTATTGGTACACGAGGTGGCGAAATATGTGAAATTGAAAAAGATGGTCGAATTCGTATTCCTATTCAAGGTTTGAAGCATTTATTTAAATAACTAGTTTTTTTTAAATATTTTTGAAAATAAAAAAATTAAGGTCATGCTGCTGGTGAATTGTGGGGTTTAAGTACACATCCAAAAAAATATGAAATGTGTACTGCAAGTGATGATAAAACTGTTCGAATATGGTCATTACAAGAGCGGCGAATGCTTCGATTTCGACATTTTACAAAATTATTACGTACATGTGAATATTCACAAAATGGAGAACAAATTGCTGTGGGAACAAAAGATGGTTTGTTTATATTTTGAAATAAAATGTTTCGATTTAAAAAAAAAATTAATTTAGGCCAACTGTTAATTTTAAAGGAAGCAGATTTGAGTACCATTATGACTGCTGAATATAGAAATCGAGAAGTATCCGATATCAAATTTTCACCAAGTAAAATTTTTAGATAAAAAACAAAAAAAATATTTCAATGAGAAGTTTTTTCTCTTACTTTAGAGGGTTCATATTTAGCTGTTGGTACACATGATAATTTTGTAGATATTTATAATGTCGAAACACAAAAACGTAAATTTCTATTACTTATTTTTGATTGAAATATATTATCAAATGATTTGCTTTTTTATTTTTTAGGAGTTGGTATTTGTAAAGGACATTCATCTTATATATCACATATTGATTGGGATTCTCAAGGTTTATTAATATGATTTTATTTTAATAAAATAATTTGATTGTTTAGGAAAATTAATAATGACTAATTCGGGTGCTAAAGAACAACTCTTTTATGAGGCACCACGTGGTACAAGAATAACATCAATTAAAAAAGCTGATATCGAGAAAATGAATTGGTTTACATGGACAGGTGTATTAGGACTTGCATGTGAAGGTATTTGGTTACCAGCTACTGATATAACTGATGTTAATTCAACTCATTTGACCAAAAATAAAAAAACTTTAGCAACTGCCGATGATTTTGGTCGTGTAAAACTCTTTGATTTTCCTGTTAAAGTAAAAAAAAACAAACAAAAATTTTATCACAAAATTCTTAAATCAAATTTTAATTTTATTTTAAGGGAAAATGTGCTAAATTCAAAGAATATACAGGACATAGTGCTCATGTAACTCGTGTTCGTTGGACATTTGATGATTCGTATTTAATATCAATTGGTGGTAATGATGTTTCTACATTAGTTTGGAAACATGAATTTGATCGATCCGTTGTAAATGTTACAAATTCTATGTCAAGAACTACGACAAATGCAAGTCCTACAATTCCAGTTCCAGTTCCTTCTCAACGACAACGAGGTGAAAGTGATGATTCTGATAATACAGATTCTGAAGAAGAAGGTTATGATTCTGATGTACGACACGATCAAGGTATGGATTATAATGCACGAATTCTTATTGATCATACTCGAACAAAAACTGGTCAAAAAGATATACCTAAATCAACAGCAGCAAATCGTACACCAATGTAATTAATTTATTGTTTTTTTTGTTTTTATTTTATTTTCGAATATTTTTCTATTTTAGGCGTGTAAAAGTAAAAACATCGCATAGAAAGTTGCAAGATGATTTAGCAGTTGTAAAAGCTACTTTCAAGTAAACTTAAATGAATAGAATTGTTAATTAAAAATTCAATTGATTTTTTTGTTTTTTGTTAAAGATCTGGAATTAGTTTAGGTTTATTAAATGCAATGAAATCGGATTCAACAAATGAAGACTTAATAGATGATGATGATAATAAACCACAAGGACGTATTGTTGTATGTAACTTTTTATGCTTTGAAAGAATGAAGAAAATAATTTGAAAAGAAAAATTCTTTTTTTTTGTTTTCGTTTTTGTTATTAGGATCTTGAATTAGATCATATTCATGGTTATCGTGGTTTTGATTGTCGAGATAATTTATTTTATCTAGCTGATAACGAATCAATTGTATATCCAGCTGCTGGTGCTGGTGTTGTACATCATATACGTCGAGGTACTCAAAAATTTTATTTAAAACATACAGATGATATTATATCAATGGCTGTACATAATGGAGAAGAAAATGGAAATATAGTCGCATCAGGACAAATTGGAGAAAATCCAACAATTCATATATGGAATCCACGAACATTAAAAACTATATCCGTTTTATCTGGTAAACATAGACGAGGTAAATTCTTTTCTTTTTTTTTTTCAAATATTATTTTTATTATGATAATAAAATAAAATTTTTCTTTTCTTTTTTTTAGGTATTTGTTCATTAAGTTTTTCGACAAGTGGAAAATTATTATTATCAGTTGGTGTTGATGCACCATATACAATAGTTGTGTGGCGATGGAAAGAAGGTATTTTGTTAAATAAAAAAAAAAAAACAAACTTGTTAGTACAGTCTCTTTGAGATAAAAATATGGAATTCACATGTATTCTTTAAGCTTAGGACACTAATACAAAACATATTAAATACAAAATTTCTCGAAGACTATAGTTGTTTTTCAAGGATAAACAATCACCAAGCAAACGATGAGTCTTATTTATTTGTGTATTCTGTTTTTTTGAATTCAGCCATATTATTATTATTATTATTCTAACCATTGATTTAACTGACTAATAAGCTTGTTGTAGGTATTCATTACATTTACAACAGACTTCAGCACACTCATACATCTCGATAGGCTCAGAAATATTAATATTGGTTCAGAGATGTCCATTGCGCCGCTGCCGCCGTGGCGGTGGCGGCGCGGCAGCGGCAGATTTTTTTCAAAAACTATCGCGGCGCGGGAGAGATTTTTATTTTGCCGTCGCGGCAGCTTTTTAGGAAAATTTTCAAAAATTCATGAATTTGCACAGAATCTGCATGTTTATGTATGCTATACTGTAAGACTTAGCGAATCTGATCGATTAGCGGCATCAGTTCTGTTTCAAACCAGTCAAAGCCTTGAAAATCAAAACATTTTTTCGAATACCAGTGCGGCAGCGGCGCGGTAGCTTTTTTAACAGGTCATCGCGTCGCGGGAGCGGCGCGGCAGCTTTGTTTGATTTTGGCCGCAGCGCGGCAGCGGCAGATTTTGAGCCGCGATGGACATCTCTGTATTGGTTATTTCCTTAAGTTATAACTTGATCAGTACATACTTTTTTTTATATTGATAATATGATAACTTTGGCAAATTAATGCTTTGCCACTAATGAGGAAAGAACCCAACTTCAATACTACGAAATAGAAGTGAAGTACGTCAAAGTATTGAAGTCGCACTTTTCCATCTCGATCGCTACTCATCATTTCTGGCATTTTGAATATGAAATTTTTTTCTGCACACTTAGAACATTCATAAACTCATTCTAGGCATTCAAATTTCACACAAAGCTTTGAGGTTTTCTCGAGTAGTCTACGTCTTGTTGTTAATCTTATTCAATATCCTTTTTCATTGTTAGAGAACTCTGATAAAGAAGTCTAGCGCCTATTATCCTTGATTACTAGGACAATGTACTAAATAATTGTTGGCCTCTCTCAATTACTATGAGAGGAAAACCGTAAAGTCTTTATTTAAGCTTTATACAGTCACAATATTTTTCTTCGTAAAACTTAATACGAGTTCAGTAAAAATTTTGAATGTTTCATTTCGTTTTTTTTTTTCTTTAGGTAATAGTGTTGCAACTGCAGTTGGATCTGAAGCACGAATATTTAATGCATTATTTCGTCCGATGTCGGATACACATTTTGTATCAGTTGGTGTAAAACATTTAAAATTTTGGTCACTGGCAGGAAATACATTAGTTGAAAAAAAAGCTATTATTCCAAAAACAGTAGACGAAAACCAATCAAGAAAAAGACAGACGATGCTTTCAATTGCATTTGCATCAGTAAGAAAAAAAAAAGAATTTTATATTGTTTGGTTGAAATGAAATTTTATTATCTATTAAAGGAAAATCGAACTTATACAGGTAGTATGACTGGTTTAGTATTTATTTGGCGTGTTAATACATTAGAACGAACAGTAAATGCTCATACTGGACCGATTTTTTCAATGTTTAGTTCAGATAATTGTATTGTTACAGGTGCTAAAGAAAAGTATGTTATGATAATTTATCAATTTATAAATTTATAAATTTTATGTATTTTTAGATCTTCTTCAAGTGATGTAGTAGTTAAACCACTTAAAATATGGGATTTAAATATGAATAATGGACGATCAATTAAACTTAATGTACCATCAACAGATACAATTTGTGTTAGATCTGTTTGTCGCAATTCTCAAGTAAATTTTTCTTTATGAACTTAAATAAATGCACAATAAGTTTTTCTTAGGGAAAAATTTTAGTTGGCTTAAAAACTTCTGATATTATTGAAATTGAAGATGGATCATCAGGTGCTCGATCAACATCATTAGTATTTGGACATGGTGAAGGACAATTATGGGCATTATCAACACATCCAACTAAACCACTATTTGCTACAGGAAGTTATGATCGAAATCTTGTTATTTGGAATTCAACTAATAAAGTAAATAAAATTTATTTAAAATTTAAATTTTTTTTGATATAATTTCTATTTTTTAATTTAAAAATAAAAGTCCTTAAGTGAACATCGCGTAAGTAAGTTGTAGAAAAAAAAAACCCGTCCTCCTCAAGTCATTGCTTTATTACCTTTGTTTTACATAATTTAATTTAGATAAAAAATTAAATATACGTTTTTTTGTTTTTTTATTTAGGGTCTTATAGCAAAACGTGATATGAAAAAAGGAATTCGTAGTATCTCATTTAATCCGGCTGGAAATTTATTAGCAGTTGGTTTCAAAGATGGACAAATTAGTTTAGTGAATTATTCACTTGAAAGTAAAGAATTAATAGAAACTCTTAAAACAAGAGAACGTAATACTCCAATTCTTTGTGTTAGGTATTTTAATTAAAGAAACGAAAAATGAAATATTTATTTGTATTATTTTTTTTGTTTAGATTTAGTCCTGATGGTAAATTTTTAGTTGCTTCATCAGAAAATTGTTGTATTGATTTTTTTGATGTTGAAAATGATAAATTAACACGTGTTGGTTATGTAACACATATGAAAGATGCTATTACACAAATAGATTGGGCTACAAATTCACAATATATAAGAGTAAAATTTTTTCAATTGAATTGTTTTGTTTTTTTTTGTTTCATGATATTATTTTTCTTCTCTTAAAAGACAACTACAATTGGATTACATGCATTTATTTTTCATGCACCTGATGGTGAAGAAATTAAAAATCATGATGAAATTGAAAAAGTTGTATGGAATACTTGGACAAGGTTGAAATATTTCATTTTAAAAAATTTATTTTATGATGTTTTGTTTTTGTCTAGTCCACTTGGCGATGATATTATAGGAATTTGGCCAAAAGATGTTAAAAAAGATCATATTAATTGTGTACATGCAACATCATCAGCAGTTGCTACTGGTGATGATCATGGAGCTGTTAAATTATTTAGATTTCCATGTCCAGAACCTGGAGTAAGAATTAATTATTTTGAAATAATAATTTTTAATTGATAAAAAATAATATTCTAGGCTGAATGTAAAATATTTTATGGTCATTCTGATAATGTAACAAATGTTCGTTTTCTTGCAAATGAAAAATATTTAGTTAGTTTAGGTGGTGATGATTGTTGGTAAGAATATTTAATTTATTTTTATTTTTTTTTTGAACTTTTTCATTTTATTTTTCGTTTAGTATCTTTCTATGGAAATGTATTACGGAATCAAATATTCATGATGAAAATTAATTAATTATTTGTTTGTATTTAATCATTAACTAATAATTCAAGCTATTAATATATGTTTTAGTGTGTTTGTTTTTCTTAATTTTTGGGGTTTTTTGTCTTTAAATAGTTTTAAAAAAAAACGAAAATTTCTTTTAGATAAAAAGAAATAAATCAAGAATGAATTATTTAGATGATTCATCTATTGGAAATTTTTATCAATTTCCTAGTTGGTCAACATCCATAACTCGATCACATACAAGTTTACCAAATAAATCTAGTAATCATATGTTTAAATTACGTATTGATAATCGAAATCAAATTGAAAATTTATCAAAAAAATCTCTCCATCGACATAATACTATAATTTCAAGAGATTCACGTAGTTTTTCACCTCCACCACTTTATCAACCAACTCCAACACCGGATATTTGTTCAATAATTGATCAATCATCATTCAATTCATCGAATCATCCACCTGGTCATTTAAAACCTATTCGAGTAAAATCAGCTTCATTAGCAGTTCCAATAAATATAAATTCCGAAGAAATTTTATTAAAAAATTTTCCAAAACAAACACATGAAAGACGTAAACTAATGCAAGATAGAATACGACAAAAACAACAAACATTAAAACATGCTCAAGCTGATTCCGATACTTGGTTTCAATTGAGAGAATCATTAGTTGAATTAAAACGTCTTGCAACAAATGAACAAGTTCTTGTAGATCCAACGACATCAATTTTTAATTGTGATGGATTTTCTTTTGAAGCTCTTAAACAAGTTGTTAATCGACAATCTGAAGATATGAAAATCAATAAATTCAAACATGCATCAGGTTGGTAAGTTATGTATTATTAAAATAATTAATAAATATTTTATCCATTTCTTAAAACAAAATGTTTTTTTTACTAAAATATTTTAATAGTTCTCAGAAATACTCAATTATTATTTTCATTCTTACGAAGAAGTTTTTCTAATGAATTAATCACTTGTGAGTCAAGACTATGAACATTATGTTAATTCCAATGAACAACGAATATCCTGAATAGAGTTCAAACTTTGAATATATTGTTGTGATGATATTGACTTTTTTTTACACTATTTTGTAACTGAATACTGTGTGTTCATCCCTCATTAACACAGAGAAAACCGATTTTCGAATCTCAACTTGAAATTGTTCAGAGAGACAGACTTTGATGAGAATAGTTTATTATTAAAATCCGAACTCTTTGTCATGGTATTTATAGTACACCCGAATGAAGAGCGATAAATCAATTGTGGAACTTTTCTCTTTAAGTTTTATTAATTGTGACGCGATAGATTTCGTTTGGTAGAAAGAAATTTATAAGATATTCCATTCTCAAGAAAATCCTTATTGAGATTTCTATACATAAATTGATATTTATCACTGTAGGATTCATCTTCAAAAAAAAGAAAAAGAAAGAACATCTTTTCAGTAATTCAGGCAAGAGCTATCAACGGGCCATTTTTTTTTGTCGATTTGGACAGATCCGGCTCGGTTGTTTGCAGGGTAAATCAGACTGACTGATATTTCTATTCTTTTTTCAATTCACTAAGCTCTACAAGACATAAACCACACTAATATCCTTACAAAATCATGAGCCTTTGTCGCCATTTTATGTTACAAGTTATACTAGAGAAAATAATAGTACATCACGCATAGGCTAGCACCTTTGGCTTGGCCTAGCCTTTTAGTGCGATTCAATAGTATATGAATGAGTTTGGCCAGGCTACAATTTCAAATCTCAGCCTAGATTAATGACCTGTCAGGCTGACAGATCTAATCCGAACTAATCTAAACTCTGATAGTCTCCTATCATAGATGAATAACTATTTAGTCTAGTTTACAAACTGATCATTCAACCAATTTGGTTAAGTATGATAATAAAATATGTAAATAAATAAAGAAAAACTGTTTAAAAATAGGTAAATATTCATCAATGAATGCAACGCCTTCTTCAAATATTACTCGTACACCAACAATGACATCAGTTCCACAAAATTTTTTATCTCGTTCTCGAATAAAAAGACGATCAACAGAAACGTATCCTCATTTAAATTTTGAACCATTAACTGTAGCCACAAAACCAATTCATTCTCCTCTATTGACAGCAAATAATTATTCATTAAAACCAAAAACTAAACAAATTAAACCACCATCAGCACGCATTCGTTCTGCTTCTCCATCAATAGTAATACCATCGATTACCGAAAAGCGTGTTCAATTATTAACATCTGAAGCATCCAATAATGATGATCCTCTAGGATCATCAATATATTCTCCTCAATTTGAAGATGTACAACAGCAACAACAACAACAAGAAACAGACAAAACAGTTGGTCCAGTAGTTTGTGAATCATCTAATTGTTCAGAAGTTGTCTCGAATGTTTCATTAAAGTCTAAAATAAAATTAAAACCTCAAATTTCACGTTGTCGTAGTGCAATGGAAACAAAATCTCCATTGAATAAAAGTTATCCACGTTTTATATTAATAACTGATGAAGAACATCGAATTGAAAGTTGGTATTATCAATATCCATTTATTGTTAGTGATGATCTTCTTCAATCATTTCAATCAAAATCATTAAATAAAATTACAACATCAGCTTATTTTATTGATGATTATCAACAATTTATAAATTCAAATACAACAACTAAAACAATTTTACAAAGTAAACCATTTCATATAAATAATGATTGGAAAAAATATGATCTTATTTTTGTATCAAATAATATTTATCAAGATATTATTATTTATTTACAAACAATTATTAATTTAATTATTAAATCATCAGGAAAAATAATTCATATTTATCAATTAAATCATCATGAAGATTTAAAAACACAAGTTAGATATATATGTAAACAATTAAATCAACAAATTTTTTCTCATATTTAATTTTTATACAATAGTTTTATATGTACTTTAAAGATAGGTATGCACCTATATCTAGAATATAATGTCAAAAGATGACTTTGACTTCTTATTTAAATGGGACTGAAACTCAAGTGTTATAGTAAAAATATTCTATGATTTTAAGAAAAATATCTTAGAAATCATGTGATTGAGAACATAATTGAAGATAAGTGATCCAAATAAGTGTTAATCATCGAATAAATAAATTAAAAAAAAATCAAGTATTGAACAATTATTCTTGATATGACACGGTCAAATTCTGGAATAGTTTTCTCTAGACTCGAAGACCGATAGATTTAAAAGTTATTTGGATCAAGATAAAAAAAATTTGGTCTTGCACATTTCCAGCTCGGATTAAATTTTTTTTTGATCTACCGAAGATTGTGGTCGAACTTCATGTAATACCGAACAAAGACTTCGGAAGTGGTTAAAAATTTACATGTTTTAGCCTTTTTTTTTATTCAATTATAACTGATTCTCCAGCTTGTGTTTTCCATTGGATAAAGTTTAACAATAGATTGAGAAAGAGCGTTCAAAGAGAATTACGATTGGCATAAACAAGGTTCAGCAGTTTTGTAGTTCTGAATACTGGACTTCTAGATTTTTAAATACAAACGAATGAATGTCTCCAAATTTCTATTGAGACATTGAACTATTTTCAGTATTGAGAATTACTGACTCCTAACCATCCTTAATTGTAGTTGTAATCAGATTAAGTTAGTTATCAAAATGTTTAAAAATACGAACTTTTGGTTGATTTAGAAGTCTTTGTTTTTATTGCATGAATTTTGATCACAGCTTTGGGCAGACAAAAGAAAAAACGAATATAAATATCGACAGGGAGTTACATTCTTAATTAGAACCATATGTCATCAGTGACATTATCTTCTAGACATTGGTGCAGTCCTATTTAAAGATATTCTTGGATCTTTTTGTAATAAATTTCTTTATTTTTGATAATATTTGTGATAATTTTAATAAAACTATCTAGTTTTTCTCTCGAACAAACAAAAGAAAATATATATAGCATTCAAATAAAACGTGTTTTGTCTTTCAAAAGATTGACAACGAACTACACTTAATATACAAAAGAATTTTGGTACTAAATTAAAAATAGAATTTATGCAAATGGACAATTCAGCGAAACACTTTTTGTAATACGATCAAGGTCTAATAGATAGCACTTGAAATGCTTATAATTAGGTCAAATTAATGTTAAATATAAATGCTCAGTGACTTCATTTCATAGTACAAATTAGACCAAGATTTTATTTATTCAAGTGCCAATCTTGATAAAGGTTCCTTGATGATATTTCCGCATAAAATCTATATATTTTGAATGTTTTGTTATTTGAATTATTCTTCTATGAAATATCTCATTTCGTTTGGACCGAATTTGTCAATATGAAAATTTAATTGCTGATCAATAAAACATGATGCATCGAATTGTATCTAAGGAATGCTTTGTTTCTGATTCAGTAGGAAATTCAAATATAAAATATCTCTTGTGAAATAAACTCCATATATATGTTTCGAGATTTATTCATAATATCACAAAAATTCTATATCTATTACTGTTTTCATCATTGCATGACATTCAAATGAAGTGTCGTAGTGAAAATATTTTTTTTCTCAAAAACTGTTGCTATGGTTTTAAATTATTTCTCAAATCATACTTTTTTTTTGTTTTCTGAGTACAAAGACTATAACAGTATATTACATAGTTCATTTCACTACCATTCGTGATAATGACGTTTATTGAGTTAATACATCTATGCTGAAATGAGTCTATTTCATATACATTGCAAATGTACACGGAAAAAAATGAACACAAAGAAACCAGATAGAGAGAGAGAGATGTGGAAATGACAATATTAATGAAAGAGTGATATCATTATTCATACAATAATAAGATTTATTATTATGTAGACACTAACAAGACATTACATTTCAATTACTTAATTAAATGAGACATAAAATTTTGTTGATTAGTGACTTTCCAGAAAGAATTTCAAATCATTTTGTTTACGATTTTTCTTTTCCTAAAAAACTGATTTCGCTTCAAGTACTGTTAAACCGCTTGGAGCTTTCAGAATATTTTGAGACTATAGTAAAGTTTTCATTTGTATACCATAGCGTTTTAGTAGGGTAATCATGAAACAAAAGTCAAAAGTAATTCATGTAGCAATTCAAAATTCTTTGTAGACTTTCTTCCTCTATGTTTAACTTTTGAAAGAGCAGGTTAAGATGTAGGACATGATAGAATCTTCAAAAAAAAAAAAAGAAAGATTTTTACTTTGTCTGTGAAAGAGAAGATTGATAGGTTCGATCCATCAAAAAGTTCTCTTGAAATGAGAAATGTTTTTATATTTGATAACGAAAAGCCTACCGGAAAACGTGTTTTATTGTAAACACCATGGAAATTGCTATAGGAAGCATTCGCAATATAGAGGCGTTTAGTCTAGAGCGTTAATGCATGATTTGCAGTGAAATGAAGAAAAAGCTCTCAGGACATCTATGTCGACATTAATTGTAGAAAAATGCCTCGAGACTTATTCTCTTGTTTATCTATTTTCGTCTAAACGATTTCACTTAAAAAATTACTCAATTACAATACAATGTTTGATTTTTTTCCAGAAGTATATCGATGTTTTTTTCGTCTTTTTGCTTTTGAATCAATGCCGATATCAGTTTTGATTTTATCCCAATAATCAATACTAATATTGACTTGCAAATTAAGCTAGCACTGTAACATTATTATTTTATTTACATATATACAATAGTGGATGTATAGATAAACAGCACTGAATCATCGCATTTACATGAAGCAAGTGATAGACAGTAGGAAAAGAATAAGCAAAGAACATTATTGCATATATCTTTATATCAGAAATATTTTAAATAGCAACAGAAATTGTAATAAAGTGTTTACTATTCATAATTAGAACACGTTTACTACTAGAATTTTTACAGTAATTAAAAAATAGACTCTGATATGCCTTTCATTTTGATATTCTCTTTCGAATCTAGAAAAATATAATTGCCTATAGTCAAATCCATTTGAGGATTCCAGGATAAGTCAGTGAGAAAGTGGAAATGATTTGAAATTTTATAACATCTTAGTAGTTTTAATTATTTTATCGGCTAGTTAATTTCTCTTGAACGTTGAAAAAGTTTTTTTTTTCTTCTTTGAAGTCTTATTAAACTTGTTAAAAAAAAGAACTTTTCAAACGCTCTCGAAACTTTCATTTACTCATCATTCATATTTATAAGAACAATGTGTTTTTTATAAGAAGATGACAGAAGCCCTGGAAAATTTTATAAAAAAAATAAGACACCAGGCAATAAACTATTTTGATTATGTAATAGTTTACGTTTCAGACCATTTTTTTAAGTAGAAACTGAAATATTTTCTAAATAATAGAAAATAGATTCTATTTTTAGTATAATGAATACTCTATCTAATAAATTTTCATAATAAACAATCTATACTGATATGAATATTATAGTTTGATTCGTTCATTATTTAAAAAAAATAAAATTTTATTAAGAAAAATTGCTGATTTATTCTGACAAATATTTTTTTCAAAAATAAAATTTATTTATTAAAAAAAAAATATGCATGATTAATTTTATACCGGATTAAATTAATAAACAACATATGAAAATAATTTGACATTTTATATGGATTAATCATTTAGATTTAATCATATCTAACATTTCTTGTTCTTCATCAACTTGTTGAATTAATTTTGAATTCATTATTTTAGTTGTTATTATTCTTAACTTAAAATCTTCGATTTTTAATCGATGAGATTTTATATAAAGAATTAATGAAAATAAAATTAATATAAAACCAAATGGTGATATAATCCAAGATAATTTATATGATGCAGTCATTAGTAAAGAGAAAAATATTATAAAAACTAATGTATATATAAATATAATATAAATTGTATAGATTCGATAATAATTATTAAAATAATATTTAATTATCGATCTATTTAATTCATATTGTTGATTATATCGATAAAAACATGATGAACTTAAACTAAATGTTAATGGGAATAAAAAGAAATATAACTAAAAAAAATAACAAAAATCAAAAAAAATGAAAAATATAATTTTTTTCATATTAAAATTACTTGAAATGTTCCTACAAATATTTGTGAATCGGGTGGTAAATAAACTCCTTGTATTAATGTACCCCAAAGAAATACTGCACCAAAATGACCTGGTGTTAAATATCCGAAATACCATGGACCTTAAAAAATAAAAAATTCAATTGATTAATCAAATAAAATAAAAATTTTTACCGATAAAATAATATAGAGAAAAACCAATTAATGAATAAAACATTAAATCTACTGAACAAAGACACATCAATCGTTGATTCCATAAGGTAAAACGATCAAAAAAGTTGGCTAAAACAAAGAAAACATTGCTGTTATTTTTCATTACTTCACCATAAAGAAAAAAAACTGGAAATAACATTTATAATATTTTTATCAAAACTATTAATCATAAGAAAATAGTTAATCAAGGTTTTCTTATTGACTAGCTAATATCTTTTCTTATGCTTAGAAATAAATGACAAACATCGTACACAAATATTTTTTCTTGTAATGAAACTATGACATATGTTTTAGTAGTTTTCTTTTTGGCTAATATACTACTCATTTGAATAATCTGTTATTGTATCTTCCCACCTACGATCTTATTTCATGTGCTTATTTTAACATTTCCGTATACATTATTCTGTACCCAGAAATCTATTATGCATTTGATTTTTTAAGCTTGACTTACAGGAATTTTGTTTTGCTTGATATCGATAATATAATAATACGAAAATATATATACATAAAGATGAAATTAAAATAATAAAACCCTAAGAAATAAAAAAGTAAGAATCAAAACAAAAAAAAACATAATGTTTTGTTTTTTTTACAAAAGTTGGTTGATGAATAGTAAGAATTAGTTTTGATCGATTCCATTTTGTTATTGTTGGTAATGATAGAGAAAATTCATGTTGTAAAGTTACTGTATTATTTTCAATATCCTTAATTAGAAAAAAAATAATTTATTGAATATTTATTTGAAAAACAAAAAAAAAATATTATTTTGTTTTTTTTTTTTAATTTTACTTTAATCTCAACAAATATTTTATGAAGATTTTCATCATTATATAAATTTGTATTCCATGGAAGAATAAATAAATTTTGATTATCTTTTGATTGAATAGCTGAACCAATATATTGTTCATCAATTGAAATAATTACATTTTGAATAGATAAGTTTGAAAAAATAACAATTCTGAAAAATAAAATTTTTTTGTTTTAAATAAATAAAAAATCTTTGTTTTTTGTTTTTCAAATAACCTAATATGTGTACTTTGACTTATACGATAGAATGGTTCTCTTAGTGTTAGAAATTTTGCTGCTTTTGGATTTGATATAATAGCATAAATAGGTTGATTAAATCGAAAATCTTCGAAAGATAATAAACCCGAATCAATAGTTAATATACGAAATCTTTAAAGAAATAAAAATATTTTGTTTTTATTTATATTTAAGAAAATAGAAAAAAAAAGGATGTTTTACCGTCGTTTATCTTTCCAATCTCCTAATTCAAGTTCAAGTAATCCATTTGAATGACGAGCATATAAATGTTTAATACCAGAATGAAGATGACCATTTAAATAAACAATACCATTTTTCATTATTTGATCAAGTCCATTTGAATACGTAAATGATAATGGATAATGACCGAAGAATATTGTTGATGTAGAATTTTTAGTTTTTTCATATAATTTTTTTAAAATTTTCATTTCTTTCTAAATATTTAAAATGAAATTTTCTTTTCAAAAAAAAAAAAATATTTAATTTACTTTATTAATATGACCAAGAAAATTAAATGGACGACCAATACCTGGTCTTGGACACATATCAACAGCAACAAATGAATAACTATCATCATCTTTTGTTCTTAATGTATATTCATATGAACCACTATGATTATGTCCTTGATGTGAATAGATACTTAAATGATACACAAATTATTTTACACACAAAAAAAAAAGAAAAAAAAAATTCATACCGATAGAAACTTTTTGATGAATCTGGATCAGGATCCATAAATGCATCTATTCATATTAAAATAATAAAGATTAAATTTCGAAATAAAGTTATCTTCTTTTTTTTGTTTTCTGTTACCATGATTTCCTTTTATATCAAGCCATTTTGTATATGCTGTAACATTAGTTCGAATCAAAACATCTCTATAAATAGTCCATTCTTCTTCATATTGTTCTGTTCCAAATAATCGATCTACTGAACTGCTCACACTGTTTACAAGATCACCTTTTTGGTATTAAATAATGTTTAAATCAATTATCCGCAACAACAACAAAAAAACACAAATTAATAATTTATTTATTTACCTGTTACAATAGTAACTTGTGGTTTTACTAATGTTTTTATAATTTGATTACAAAATTGTTCGAATTGTTGTATTCGATCAGCATGACCGAAATGACTTATATGAATATCTGTTATCTAATAAAATAGTTGAATTATTACATTTCTTTTTTTTTTTTTTTTCTCTAAAGAATATAATTACATGTACGAAATGAAAAAGATGTTTTCCAGTATTACCAAGATATTCATCAGATATAATAAATTTTTTATTAGATATTAATGAATAATTTGTAATAATATTTAGAAGAAAAAGAATAAAGATAAATGAAAACATTAAATAGAATGAATTATACGGATATAAATGAGATTCAATGATTATCTAAAAATATCTAAAAAAAATGATTTTCTTTTTCGAAATTTATATTTCATTAGTTTTTGTATTTTTAAAACATTCGATTAAAAATAACAAACATAAGAAAGCGAAAGCATTAAGACAGTCGCATTCACCTAGAAAAAAAGTTGTTTTTCTTAAATCATATTCTTCTTTCAAAACAAAAGTTTTTATTGCACTTTCAAATTCTCGATTACAATTCATATTAACATTTTTATAGAATATGAAATGCACTTTCATATTTACAAGTATTCTCATAATACTTTCTATTGATAAATATTAATAAATAAAGTATTTATGCATAGATATCTATAATAAAAGTAATACTATGCACGAGTTCATTTTATATCTCAATTACTTTTTCAAAAGTGTTAAGTGAGTACGGAATGAAGATTGATTGAATAGCAGAGAAAAAATAAGCGTATTGCAAGAACAAATTTTAAAAATAGAAAAAGTATTATGTGGATGAATTTGAGAAGTAGAAGAAGGAACATCATGTTCCATACGCCTCTGCTCTATTCTTTTCTTTTGTGTCATACATTTGTATTGTTTTATGAATAATTACAATGCATCATCGTTTTTCTACTACACTAAATGACACATGAACTTATTGGTATAGTTTTATTTAGTTTCTCTTCTAATAACTTGAATAACAAACAAAACTAAAAAGAATTTAATCATAATCTATTTTATATTTCTATATTAAAAAAAAATAGAGAAGCAAGATCAACAATTTCCACCCACGGTTTCCTAATACAATTAGATAAATACGTTAATTATTTGTAATATTCTAACGTCCGAAAAAGTAAGACGTAGGTCCAACAAGATATTAATCGGAGAAAAAGAACAATTTTCTTCCATATCCTAATTCTCGATTGGTTTACTTCTCGTTTTTTTTCTTCTTTCTCTCTTTCTCCCTAAGGTATTTTCTCGACACAACCAAATATAAACAGTATTACTACACATACTTAACATTTACTATTTTCGCTATATTCATCAACAAGAAATTACAATGATTGTTCGTTCGTCAATTGCTCTACTTTTAATATGTATTCTATTTATTCATACATTATATGCAATTAATCCAGAATATTTTCGTCAACATAATCAAGAACAACAATTATCATCATTAATTAAAGCCATGAATAAACAGTTATCTGATCAACATTCAGATATAGTTTCATCGGAACAAAATGATAATGACGACGACGATGATGATGATGATCAACAACCAATAAAACGTAATAAATATCCAAATTTTCATCTTAGCCCATTATGGTTATCACGTCGAACACGTACAAATCGCTTCTATGGAAAACCATTGTGGATTTCTCGAACAGGATAAGAAACAAGAACCAAACAAAAAAAAAATAAAAATAAAGAATTAAATAAAATAAACTTTCTTTATTTGCTGATTAAATAAATATCCAATTTTGTTGTACATCATTTTCTTCTTCTTCAACTTCAGTTTCATCTATATAAATTGTATAAATATTCAAAGAAAAAAAAAAGAACATGATATAACGAATTGAATATATATATAAAATTCAATTCAAGAACTTTGAATAAATTTCTAATAAATAGAAGAGAAAAATATTTATTTTATTGATCGAACATTTATTTCTCTAATATAGAAAAACAAAATATGTTCATTATATTTATTAATTCCCATAGGTGTTATTTTTCAAATAGAACATTCTTTCAACCATAGAAATTACTATAACTATATTTTTTTTTTATTCTTAAAATAATTTTTCATGATCTTATTACAATTGAAATGATTTAGTCAACTAAAAATCTAACAAAAAACTTGTATTAAATGACATATTTTCGCATTCGAATTCAATAGAATATGAAGAAATCATGATTTTGCTATCTTTATTAAATATTAAATTAGAATATTGTCTTCTTTAATCTTTTTTTCTTCCTATTATAATGAAGATATAATCTACTTAATACTTATGTTTTTTCATAATTAATATTAGATATTTTCTTGTTGAATAAAAAAAAAACATACTTATCTTTTCTTTTGCTAGAAAAATACAATACTAAGTGTTCAGAAATATTCTTCTTTGCCAGACTTTATTAGAAGCAATATTTATAAATATCTTGACTGTAAGAAGAAAAGTCAAGCTTATTTTTTGTTTCATTGCTTTGTCTAAGTTACTTATATACCATAACTATGAAAGAAAACCAAAATAAATAAAGTTTTCTATTGATTTTACGTTTGATTGAATATATAGATATTATGTCATTGATCAAGAAAGAAAACCATTGATAAACTTAGTGAACGTATCGTTTTTCTATGCCTATATCTATATGTTTGAAATGATATCTTTGCAATAAATTTTCAGAATATTGAAAAAAATTTTTTTAATCATAAGAATTACGATGTTTAATTAATTGATAATTAGCGGCATCTAGAATTGTTATGTGCTAGTCGACATTCTTGGATTTCAATAAAATTCTTTTGTTTTCTGGAATTCTTATTAATTAGATGTAGCCTTTGTTATGTCTTAATAAGACTGTTCTTTGATTGCTTCTCTATTTTTATTTTAACCTTAGTAAAAAGTACATCTGATTTCAGCAATTTTACATAACAGATAAAATGGTGAATATTTACAATTATTAAGAAAAGATTGCTTTTTTATTGATGAAATAAATTTGATATGTTCATCAAAAACAAAAAGAGAGAAAGAAGACATAAACACTAGAATTAATCATTTATCTACATAAAAGATATATTAACTTTTATTATAATTTGTTCTTTATCTTTTTCATCACCTAGAATTGATAATGTTCATCTGTTGCCCATGTTCTTAGTTTTGATAATATTGTTTTTTTTTTGGTAATTTTCTAACATTAATTATATTTTGACTTATTAATCGTTGAACAGATGCATTTCTATTCAATATATGAATTTTACTTGTTATAGACATGCAACTCATGCATCATCCAAATAGAACGTGTTTTGTTCATTGAATTTAATATAAAGAACAATGAATTGACATTGTGTACTAATGAATAAATTACTTATAGACGTTTATATTAAAAAAAATTTATTATATAGCCTTGATTTCGAAGGTCAGAATAAAGTCTTTTTTCTTTCCTATCGAAGAGAATCTTGTCTAAGTTTCAAGAAATCTTAATTTTCATATCATTCTTTTCAAATTCATAGGTTCTTCGATTCATTGAAGAAGATCTTTAGTTGTAAGAATAATGTTTGATTGATCAAAAAAAATGAAGCAAGTTTGAAAAGAATCGATTTAAGAACATCAATAAGTTTGATGAAAAGAAAAAACAGAAAATATCGAGAGTGCAATTTTTCTTCTGTCATTCGTTGTGTTGTTAGAAAATAAATGCTTATCTTATTTTTCTATCATTTAATCTAGATCATTGTCTGTCTGTCTAGAAACACATTAGAAACTTTTGAAGGAGAAACATCTATTTCAGTGATAACAGATTATGTTAATACCTCAACAATAGAAGGCCATTCATAAGAAAAATTTTACAAGGCATAATAGAAGGTCACGGTTTTTCTGAAGTTTTTTTTCTGATTCTCGCAGGTTGCAAAACTTTAAAAAATCTGGTATATAAATAAATTACTATTTTTTCAGTAGAAAAGTATTTTTTTTTGTAAGCAAAAATTCTGGCTCTCCGGCATTGATTTGAATACCAGAAGAATTTTCGAAAAAATCTTTGATTTTCTAAATAAATATTAGAAAAATAACTAGCTCAGAATGAAGATCCATTACTTTTTATTCCAACAGACTGATACACTTCCTATTCAATTTTAAATAAAATTCTTTTGTTTTCTATAGATTTACAACTAATCAATAATGAATTATGATAAATCAATTAATGGGATCTTTATCATGAGAAAAAAAAATGAATATTTAAATAATGTCGATTTCAAAAATATTCAATTGAGTTTTTGTCATTTATGAATGATGTTAAGTGTTCTATACAATTGTTCAAACTATATGTTCTTATGGTGTATTATCTACATTTGTAATTAACTTTAATATAAACTACACTACCTTCGACTCATTAAAATTTATATTTGTTCTTAGAAGACTACTGTATTACTTTTTATGAATATCTCGAATGTAATTCGAAAGTAAAATGTAAAAATAAAAAAAATTATCGAGATAAAATAAAAAAGAGATGTGAATGTTCTACAATAATTTCATGTTCAAATTTATTATACTTTCGATTAATGAAAATGTCAGATTATCATCATATTCTTATCGAGTGTTATTCAACATATAACAATAGATCTTTTATCTATGAATTACTATTAATTAATTTTAATACGAAAGACTTTCTTTGAAATAAATAGAAAATTACTAAGTATGATTATTTGATTAAGATTTTTATGATTTATTGAAGAATATGTAACTATTCTTCGATCTTATTAATATGTAATTGATCAATAAAATCTCTTGAAACGTCAATTATGCGATCAAATGTATAATAACATATTTAAATATCATTTATTCACCTATACGAATACATTGAATCATTTAAATATATTCTTCAATTAATTCATTAAACATAAATCTCTATGAGAAAAGTTTCTTTTTTTTTTTTTTACAATTAGAGACAAAATATTTCTAAATGATAAAAATAAATGATCTTTTTATTTTCTCACATTGTAAAATATGAACATAAGAGATATATGCATAAAGTCACAGGTTATTTTTAAGTAGACATTATATTCTTTATAGATTGATCAAAATTTGAAGATTCATATTTTGGTGGTAATGGTGGTGGTGGTGGTGGAATCTGTCTTTTATCATCATCATCTAAACTTGCTTGAACACGAGTTGCATTAACAAAACTTGTTTCCATTGGTACATAAATTCTATGACCTATTGGACGAATAAATGATGAACTATTTCCTAATGGATCATCTCCCATCATACCACCGGTAGTTAATGTTGCCATGCAAGGATTTTGAAGTTGAAGTTCATGTTCTCTATAATAATTTTAAATAAAAAAATATTTTAAAACAAACATAAAATTAATCAAACCTTGAAACTCGTCTTGATAAATGATAAGTAATAAATGTTCGAATAGCAAATAAAATAAGAAAACCAATAATTAAAATTACTACAATTGATGAAATAATCAATACAAATAAACCAATACCACTAACTAAATGAACAAAAAAAAAAAAAAAAATAATTTGATCTTATTATAAATCTTAACTTACTATTTTGACATCGTTTTCCTGAATGAAAAAAATCACAATCACATCTATAATCTCCTGGTAAATTAATACATGTAAATGATCCACAAATTCGATCATTTCCAGCACATTCATTTATATCTAATTCACACATAAGACCTCCATAACCTGGTAAACATACACATTTACTTGTTACATTTGAACAATAACCTTGAAAAAAAAAAGCAACGATTCTTTCCTTCTCTTAATTAACACAATCAACAATAAAAGGAATAGAAATGACTGACCTCCATTAAGGCATTCATAACGGCTGTCGCAGATGCCATTCTGTGGTATTTCTATAAAAAAATGACATACATATACATGACTATATATATATATATAATTATTTGGATATGAGTGTTCACCGGATGTTGGAATTGTGGTTTACGCTCTTTTGACAGGCGCATATAGTCGGAAGTATTACGTAAGAAAAAAAAAAAAAAAAAGAATTTTTTTTACCTTGAAGCACACAACGTCCAGTTGATGAAGAAAGAGCAAAACCAGGAAGACATACGCAGCTGACACCACTCTCATTCGATAAACGTATGCATACTGCACGACTGTCACACTTAGCACAATTGGGATCATCTGCTTGACCGATTACTAGTAATAAAAAAAAATAGACAGATTGATTTCAATAATTAAATAATATTAAAACAATAACTATTGCTTTTTTTATTCGAATCCCTATGAATATTCGTTTCTTTTTTTTTTTTGTTCTATATTAATAGAAATTTTGCTTGATTGAACACTTGAAAAAGAATGATATGATTGACATCGAACACCTTCATCAATTTCTTTCAAATAGAGATTTATCACATGTGTATTACACAAGAATTTATTCTCGATTTTGTTCACAATTTTTAAAGTGTCAATTGATAAATCCCTCATCTGTTTTCATATTTCGTTTTGTCTTGTTCAAACATACATAATGGTGAGCAATCTATATGTTAGTTTATTACTACTAGTGTCAATTGAACCAAGGAGGAGGGAAGAATATTCACGTCAATTTAGTAGATGTCTTCAAGAGAAATAATCTGACACTTGTATTACAATATTAGACAAACATACAGCTTTTACTTAAAGGTCGTCAGTTTGAATTGAAATTTGATCAGTGACAACTGCTGAACACATATACGTGTATATTATAGACAGCGGAACCAATTTATTTTTTGTTTTTTTTTTTCTCTCTCTCTGTCTCTGTCTTGCTCTTTACTTACCTGTAATTCGATTTTGTCCATAAACGATCTCAATAGGAATAAGAAATAGAGAAAGAATTAAAACGATCGTCGACATAGTTTAAAGATTAGCTGCCAATACACACCGAGTATAAGAATGATTGTTTTAAAATGAGTTCGTGTGAAAAAATACTCTTCTCTTTTCTACTCTCATTCTCTTGCGCAATGGTACCAAAAAAAAAAAACTTCTCTCACTTCTTTTCTCTCCTTCTCTCATTGACCAAAGAAATGAAGCGAGAAAAAAAAAAAGACTAGTACACATCTATTCTCTCTCATTCTCTCTTTTTTATTCTGATATTATCCTTGAAATAAATAAGTAATACATATACTTATGCCTACTCATTCACTAATTGATATTTCATTGACATATTTTGATGAGAAAATAATCATTTTCTTTAAATTTTTTTATAATGCCAATATCTGGTTATATACTTTTTTTTTCATCACAACCAACCAGATATAAATCAAAAACAACAACAAAAGATAAGCCAGGAAAAAAGAAAACCATGAAGCACAAAAAAAAAAAGACTGAGTACATATTCAAGAGTATATTTAGGTGCATGTGTATAAAACACAGATACAGTGTTCTAAGAAAGAAAGCACAAAACATCAGTTTAGACAAAAAAAAAAAATTAAGGATCATACAGTGAAAAAAGATAATCAAACGATCATGTTCTTGGTTATGTTTAATAATCGAAAAGAAAAAATGAGGATAGCTATATTCATCTAAATAAAATAAATTTAATGAATGAATACAAAAAACAAAAAAAAAAATTTTTTTACCTTGATTATTAATTTTATCGACTATTACGAGATCGAGATCGTGTTCTTGAATGTGATCGTCGTTCTTCTGATTGAGATGAACTATTCGATCGTGAACGTGAATATGATCGTGAATGAGAACGTGAACGACTATTCGAATGACCTCGACCACTACCTGATCGACTACTTTCAGAACGACTACGACTTCTAAATAGATTTTTTGAGTTTTTTCAAAATAAAACTATAAAAAACAAAAAATTCTTTACCGTTCTTTACGTCGTGATGTATGTCCATCTCCTCCTTTTCGTCTTGGACTACGACTTCTTGATGTTGACCTAGAATAATTATTAATTATTGTTTTATTTCCATAATAAGAATTGAAAAAGGTTTTAAAAAAAAAACACCTACTTCTATTGCTTTTTTTTTTCAATTGATAAATGAAAAACAAAAAAAAGATGTTTTTTTTTTTTTTTTTATTATTTCGTCGTAAAAACAAAAATGATATTTATCTGTCTACGATTTATTGATCGTATACACACCTTTGAATATTGACGTGAAAGAAATAGAATGAATAAATCGAGAATTCTTCTGATTTTGATCCGATTGTTTCAAAGATGTTTTGTTTCATTATCTAATATATTTCTAACTCCCAAATGAACAGAAGAACAATATATAAAATACGACGATGAACATCTATCGAATTTTTTTGATCGTTTCCATCAATGTTTTTGCTTCTCGATCTAGTAGAGTATCAATGCATCGTACACATCAATCGCTCGCTCGTTTCAATGTCTCTCTTCATCAACGTGTATGTGAACTAAAAACAGATACTTTCTTCTTTTTTTTTTATGTTAACAATTCATTAGAAACAAAAAAAAGAAAAAAAGGAAAAAAAAAACATTAATGATCACTTCATTTAAACATATATACATGCAAATATATTACAGAGAGAATATTTATCTTACCTCATACGACGTTGTCGTCTTAATCGAATTTCACAATCATATGCATAATGACCACGATCTAAAAATTTTTAATAAATCAATATATATATAGTCTTATATAGATTTTTTGTTTTTTCGTTAGTATTTTAATTGAAAGCAGAGATGGGCAGCTCCGGTTGACGACTCCGACGAAAGTTGGTGAACCAGCGACCCAGAACAGATTATATATACGTCGAATTTAACATGATTCGACGCAGAAATGTTTGCTCTTGTCTTCCATTGAGACAAAGTTGTTGGAGCGGGAGCTGAGTTCGACCGGCTCCGATGACTTTGTTTCAACGAAAGACCACAGTTAAGTTAAATATATAGCTGAAAAGAGCAAAAACATTTCTGTGTCGAATGATGTTAAATTCGACGTATGTATAATCTGTCCTGGGTCGCTGGTTCACTAACTTTCGTTGGAGCCGGCAACCGGAGCTGCTTATCTCTGATTGAAAGTCAATTAAACATAGAATAATCATTGAAATTTTTAGAAATATTACATATTTTAGAATCTAATAAATGAATTTGAATACTCTGAATTTTCAAATAATTTTTATGTAAAAATTTTTTAAACAAAAAAAAATGTTTTAATTGAGACTAATGTCATTTAAAGAGTCGTATGATCAAATTTATCTTCACACATTTTTGACATCTCTTTTTTTGCTAATGTAGAATAAAGGCTTTCTTTCAAAAATTTATTTAACACTTGAAATACTATTTGCTCTTCAATCATATTTCATAAAAAAAAAAAAGGTAAAATCAAATTATTATTTGATGAAAAAACCACTCGAACTGATACCTATTGTTTGAGTTCATATATTGAGTCTACAAGGACGCCTTGATAAAACTAACAAAAATCTAAAAAAACGTTCGTTTCCATAGAGTCGTTGAAGTCGAGTTAGAATTTAAATTTTCGACTCAACATCAAACCTATTTGAGATTTACACAAAACTATTGTTTATCTTTAATTCAATTTAAGTTTGCTTTAGAAATTTTTCACTAAAACAAAAAAAAAAGAGAATCTACAGTTTTTTTTTTATTGATGTTTCTTTATCTTCGAATTTGACTTGACTCATAGATGATATCTAAAATATGAATATATTATATTGTTAAGTTCTATCGAATTAGATTTCCAACAAAAATAATAAAGAACTTTTTAGCTCATTTCGAATACGTGATAGTAAAAATGAATACTGTGTCTACTTAAAAACGAAAACTTATCTAAATTTATTTTTACATAAAATATCGAAAAACTAAAATATACAATTTCGATGTCAAATTTTGTCTATAGATAAGTCATAATGATCTATTGAAATATTCTCAAAGTTTTAACCAGAAAGAATTTTTCGAGATACTGAATATACACTATTGCTGAAACTTTAAAAAATATTCCTATGAGTCAATCAACCTACAGCAGAGTAAAATTCTGTTTTTTTTTTAACTTTTCGATATCTAACTGAAGATTCATCGAACCGAAACTTCTTTGTAGGTCCAATATAAACTCAAACGAAGGATATCAGTTCAGATCGTTCTCTTGTAAGGTTTTTTTTCATTACGGAGTTGAATCAAATAATAAAAACCTACCTCCACATTCGTAACAAATATCATGCGGACTAAAAGGTTTTCTGGTACGAGGTGATCGACTGCCCGATCTTCGACGACTACGTCCTCCTCTATTTGATCGACCACGACCATGTGAAAATTCAACACGAACACGTGAACCACAAATCATTCTAGAAAAAAATAAAAACATTAAAATTAATTTTATTTTTAATTATTATTAATACTAACTTTCCATCAAGAGCTTTAACAGCATCAGCTGCATCACGTTGATCTTCAAAATCAATAAAACCTATTGAAAAAAATAAATATATGAATTTCTATTGTGGAATTCCTTTTTTTTGTTTTTACTTACCATAACCCCATGGACTTCGCGAAAGCCTATTATAATAAATAAATAAAAATTCGAATAAATAAAATAAAATCTTACCAAACATTTCTTAATTTTCCATAATAACTAAATGTTTTTTCAACATCTTCTTTTGTTGCATCACGTGATAAATCTCCCAAAAAAACCTATATTCAAAATAAAGATTAATTCAATAGAATATTCAATTGTATTTTATTATTATCATTACCGTAACTGACTCATCTCGTCCACTTGACATAATTCCGTTTTTTTTTTTTTATTAATTTCTTTCAATTTTTTCTTTATTATATTATAATCTAAAAATAAAAGTACATTCATGACAAAATATATCTTCAACCCTTAAACATGTTCGTTTATGTTAATATTATAAATAGAAAAACAAGAAAACTGAAAACATGAAGTAATAATTATATAAGAATGCTTTATATTACATTCATCAAATACAATGTTAATAGTACAATGAGTGTAAGAATAAGTTGTCTTCTATGTTATTTTCTTCCTTGTCATGGCCGAATAACTATGCAATAATATGAATCATATCATTATTAATTGTTTTTTCCGATTTGTTATTCACCATTATTATGGTGACCTCTAATAGTTACTAAGTATTAGGAAATCACTTTTTTTTAATATTCTATATGATATTTGTTAAAATCTATTTAAAAAAAAAATGAATAATCAAAATTATTTATATAAAATTTTCTGATGAGGTCATCACCATGTTGCTATGAGTAACGGAAAAGCAAATGAAAATATATGCGACATCTGGAAAAAAAACAAAGCTACTACTTGTCATAATTAAACAAACGTTAATAAATTAGAATGGTAAGTGAAGAAAATTTGGAAAAAGCCTAAGTTAACTTCAAATTTTCACATCAATAAATATTCCATAAGTAAATGAGTAGTTTCACAGAAATAGTTAAATTAAAATCGACGACTGTTACGCATGAGTATATTTTACAAAACTTGAGTTACCATACATTTATAAGTTAAAAATATAGAACTGTCTCATAATGAATAATACATTGGACCTGTAATCTTTATAAGGCTAATTATGTTTTATTAAAATTGAAAATTTATCATAGAATATAACGAGAAAATCGTGATAATGTACAATAAAAAAAAAAAGCTCATATCTTTTTTTATATAAGTTTTTCCATATTTTCCAATAAAATGCGAAAACCTCGGATTTAAATCCGAGTGTTATGTGTACTTCAAAAAGTGAACAGGTATATTCACTTTGTTTTTTTATCATCTGAGAGATATCTAGGCAATTTGCTTTCTGGATGCAGTTTTTGTGCATTTTGAGACCTTTTTCAGGCGATGTTTTGTTAGAAAGCTACGATTTGGTTCAAAACTAATATCAGATTCGAAATCAGCGTTAAAAACTGAGTCGATTTATATATGTTGTGAATAATTCTAAGAAAAATGTTTTTTTTGAAAAAATCCCTGTACCCCCCTTCAGGAATGGTCTGGTCAATAATGACAATTTTTTCGATAACTCAGCCATTTCTTGACGGATCCTTCTCATCTTCGAACTCGACCGAGACATTGATGAGACTGAACTGTGCAGAAAATTTCATCACGATCTGACTCTCCTTTCGAAAGTTATCGTGTAAACGGCCGGACACACTGACCGATTCTATAGTGTACTCATTTTTTGAGTACACAAAAAAAAGGCAAAATTCTAATCGATCAATATTTTAATCCTATTAACAAAGTCATATATTGTTACAGAACTAATTTCGTTTTCTTTTTATTATTTACCTAAGAAAAAAAAGTTATGATTTAAAACAATTTCATTGACAAAAGAAAAATAATTTTCAAATAACTCTAGGCATTCATATTATTTATATAGAAGAACAATTGCAATAAAATTTCTATGAATCAAAATGTTCCTAGATTGTAATAAAGTTAGACATATAAGATTATTTTCGAAAGTATTCAATAATGTCATAATTACTAATTAACATAAAACTATTTACAAAATATAGATTTATAATCATATAGATGCTTGTGTTTTCAATATACTATGTTCGGATCAGTCAAAATTAATAATTGGAATGCATTGTAAGTACTACTAAGACATTAGATATTGTTTCATGCATTTCTATTTTAGTTTCATAATTAAGAAAATAATAAAAAAAAAGAGAAAGAATTTCATTCGTATAAAAAAAGAAAAAAGAATAATTTTGTTTGTAAGGTAGATAATTAGTCGAATAGAATTTTGTCTTTTTTTATTTTGAAAAGAATAAAATGTCTTTCATTTTTTTTACTAGTGTGTTTGCTATCGTTACTTTCGTTTTTCGAATTTGAATATTTCTCAACATGATGAAATATTTTGAAAATTTTACCAGAATTTCAATTGTTACTGCCGCTGATCTATTCATAAATTTATACTTACCTTTTATTTGAATAGAGAAAAATCTATAAAATTTAGACTATATTCGTTTAATCTCTATCGTAAATTTTCTAAATTTATTAGTTAAGACTTTAAATTTTTATATGTTGTAAAAAAACGTTAAATGGTAACGAGCGTTTTTGTCTTGGTTTTTTTTTTGTAATTTTAGTATTATGAATTAATTTCTAAATTGACTTTTGAATATTCATATCTCAATATTGTATATAATCAAAGAGAAATATTAACTCTCATAAATCTCAAACTAATTAAGATCTAAATATAAAGTTTCGAATAGATTCTATTTGATTTGCTTGTGATGTCTCTTAAATGTAAGAGAAACAAGACTTTATGCATCAATCAACATTTTATTCTAATCTTCGAGAAAAGTCTTTAAAAAAATAGATCATTGACGTATTTTCTTAATTTTCAAATAACTTTATTTTGATAAATCAGATGATATTTAAACTATTTTTTGACAAGTACATTAGTATTCATTAAAAAATAATCAAAAAATTAATATGAAGATTTTCTTCTGTCATCGACATATATATTTGATGTTATATTTAGATGTTCATAACTAATTAAAATGTGACGTTCAAATAAGTCTGTTAAATTCTTAAAGAATTTGAAATTTTCTATTAAATCAATATGTCTAGACAAATATTTGATTATAAATAAATAAAACATATCCCTGTTTAATGAGGAAGTTCGAGATTCATCATAGGTTACCTTGTTTGTTAAGTTGTGACGTACATAAAAGAAAAACCGGATCTTATACATCATAACATGTTCATTAATTCAATCACGACATAGAACGTGTTGTTGACTCATATTCAAAAAAAAGTTATCTCAAGATGAATTTCTAGGCATCTTTTTTTTTTAATCCTGACTGACACTTTAAAGAAAATGAAGCTTTTTTAATTATATCTTATAATTGTGATATTAATTTCCTTTCATTAATTAATTGGTTTCGTTACTAATTAAATGAAATTATAATAAATGAGTTTGATATTTTTATTTATCAATCATTTTCTATTATTTATATTCATGTTTTTCAAAATGAACATGATGATTTGATAAAATATAAATTTTTGATCTCTTACTTTTTTTATTAAATTATAATTATTAAAGAAAAATCATACATTAGGATAAAACTATATTAGTCGATAGAACATTAATTAAATTTATAATAAATCTCTTTTTTTTTTTTGAAGTTAAATTATATATTATTATTTTATTTATAATCTATTTATAATATTTCAACATAATTCATATTAATTAATTATTTTTGTTTCTTTTTTAGCCTCCAAAAGAAGTAAAAAAAGTAAATATTTTATTGTTATGTATTTAAAATAAAAAGAATATTTCAATAGAAAAGTGCACGTGATCGAGCAGCATTACTTGAACAAATAAATATTCCACAATTAACAGAAACATTATTTGATATATCTTATCATGGAAATATTTCAAATTTAACAGAAATTTTAACTATACCAACAAAAACTGTCGAAAATCTTCGTTATGAAGCTATACAACAAAATAATTTATTACAAGTAAGAAATGATCAAACAAGAACATGTCTTGATCTTGCTGCTATGCTTGGCCATCATGAAGCTGTCAAATTATTAGCAGAACGAGGTGCAACAATGATGACTAATGGAATTAATTTAACCAATGGACTGGGTAAAAAGAATTCGTTTTTATTTTTTTCTTTGAGAAAAATTATTATAAAAAAAAAGAAAATTTTAAATAGGATATTCAAGTTTACATCTTGCTTGTGTATGGAATCAATTAGAATCTATTAAATATATAATAGCAGGCGGTGGTGATATTGAACAAAAGACAGTTAATGGAGAAAAACCAATTGATATAGCTAGACGATATCATCATAATGATTTAGTTGATTATCTAGAATGGATTGGTAATATATATTCTATTATTTTCGTGTTTTCTTTTTTGATTGTCTAATATTATTTTAATTCTATAGCTATACGCAATACATTTATACGTATTATCAATGGTGCAAAAGATTTTCTTGCTGATCCAGCAAAAAATATGAATAAATTAAATAAAGATGATAAAGTAATTTTTATAGATAAACTAACAGATGTTTTTTTTTTTAATTTTTTCTATAGAAAAAATTGGAAAAATATGTTAATGATGCATTGAAATGGTCTGATGAAAATCAAAATAATTCAAACGCACGAGAGTTATTTGCAAATAAAAGCAAAGAAGCTGAAGAATTTTTTGCACCTTTTTATGCAAATGCTCAAGGTAAATGAAATAAAAATAATATGCTTACAGATAAATTTTTTTAATTTTAATATCCTTTTTTCTTTTATGTTTATAGCGGAAATGGATTTGAATAATGCCAATGTAAGTAATGCAAGTCGGCCACAGTTAGGAACACCCAAAAGTGGAAAAAAATAAAATATTTACAGTATATTATCTAGAACTATGTTAACAATGTGTTCTTTGTTTGTCAGAAAATCATTCTTCTTTGACACATTTTTTTCATTTGTTAATTAATAAATATATTAACATAATCGATCATTATTATTATTATTTTTTGTTGTTTTATAATGCAAAATACGAAATAGTTTTTTGTGACAAAAAATAATATGATGAACTTATAATAAATGTAACAATGATAATGTAAACATATATATCCATATATATACGTCATTTTTTAATACGAACTGACATTAGTTGGCATATTAATATTAAAAAAAAAAATTAGACTATAAGAAGTTTGTCATTCCTCAAAAGAGTAGATGAATTCTAATGGTATCAAAATTTTTATTTTCATTCGATCTTGTTTTTTTTTCTTTTTCATA